ACAGGGTTCGAAACAAACATATCATAAATTATGGAATGTCTAACAACAGACTCATGAATATAGCTACAAAAGATGTTAGTTATGTCCATAACTAACCGATCACATCGTTTTTCAAGCGACCACCACGTTGATATGTTCTGATGTGTCTGTAAACTATCCCTGTTGCATGTGACCTACCAATTGAAAGACATTACTATCCTATCATATCAATATGACCCATAATTTTACTCATCTCGATAAGACACGTAATACTGTTTGATATGTTTGTGCGTTTCACTTAATGACTGTAATTTCCTTAATTATTGTACTAATCCAATTGTTTTTACGTTCAGAAACAGATAAAGTCTAAAGTCAAGTTGTCCTTGTTCTAACTATAGCTTTCACATAGACTCCGTGCTCGCCAGTATCGCGTCTACGGTTCTAGTAGTATATCTGTAGGACAAATTAAATCCTATAACGTTTCAACCAGTATATTCGATATACCCACTGAAATGACTGCCAATAAGTACTACAATTCCTATGAGATTTCAGAATTATCACCCCACCATCTGTGAGTTTATGATGAAGATTCGGACCTTGCTGTCGATTATGCCATACGTAAGATATTATGTATCATGTCTACTGACGACTTAATCCCTTCAAATTTTCATTCTGTGAGCTAGTTTCGGTTGTCAGATTTTCCTTATCCTAATCCTGTGTTATTATTTATTATGATTGAGTGTTTCCTTTAGTAAATGCCTGACGTGGGTTCACTTCTTCTAGCTATTGCTCTTCCAAGATTTTCTAACACGTTTTACATACTGGACACTTCATTAAACCCACAACACAGGGACATGTCCATGTGACTCCCCAAAAGTCGAATTCTGGGGCCATGGTAAGGTAACAAACATTCTTTCAGCCTCAACGTATTGTTTCTGTCTTTTTGGTGTGTGCTTCGGTATTATTATTAGTGGCTTTATTCAATAGTATATTTTGGTTAAGTCTGCAAATCGTCACTTGTGAACGACGATACGATGCACGTAACCAAGTCTAGATAGACAACGACCTGCTCTCCCGTCATCCCTGTATGTTGTGTTGCCCGACAGCACGTACTCTCGTGTGGTTAATACCATATTTGTGGATTACTGGTTTCTCATGAGTTGGAATGGCCTCCTTTGAGATGATCTATCATGCATATTAGGGACCTATTTAGTATATTTGAGGAAGTTCTACATATACAGTCTTCTCTAGCACTTCTTCCTCTATTGAGTTCGCGTTTTCTAACGACTGTTTCGTCGATTTCTACTATTCTCCTGATTCTTCCAAACAACTGATGCAAGCTTGTCATTTTCATCACACATATCTTGATAGTATTCATACCATTCAAATGCCGAGGCCTCAGTTACACCTGCAAAGATTGCAGCCAGTGTTACTAGTGTTTTATTATAAAGTTTGCAATGATTATCATAATCTGTCTTGATATCAATCGCGATCGAGCAAATAGACGTCCCCATTGCAACAGACGTTTTCCTCCAACATATATCACATCGAGAAACAACATTGTCACGATAGTCCACACAATGTCAGGTAGTCATTTGATATATATATATATATACCTCATGCTTCTGAAAAGGGTGACAAGAAGGAACAGTTTCGCTCAAGGTCAGGATATTTTGAGAGATCAGTACCAATTAGAAACCGTGCATCTGTGTGACGGAAATCCTTTGAGTCCCCTTGATTTATTGACCTGATTTTTATGAAAAGTTGATTAAATATAGCCTAAAAGTATGTGAGTGAATTGATTTGTGCATTATGGTGCCTCGCCTAAATCAGAGAATCAGGGAAGTGGAGTACAAGCTAGCTTGTAAGTAAGTCATCACTCAGCATACTGAAAGGCAAAACTCTTAGTGTTTCTGCATCAACAGTTCATTTACATATTTTTGGATGCAATGTGATAAGGCTTCAACAAGTGATCTACATACAAGGTAATAAATGTTATACAATAACCTGTCAGTCAGTTAATTAAGTCCTATTCATTAAAATGTAGCATTTTTAAACTGAAGAGAAACATAACGCAGTTATATGGTTCGAAAGTATGAAATATTAAACTTGTTGTAACCGACTATATGGATATAAGATTCACTCAAATAAATCTGATCTTCAGAGTCAATAAGTGAATGTTCATATGCTCCTGTTACATTCAACACACCAGTCCGCCTCAATACGTGAATAATTTAAACAGATTAGCCAGCTTATACAACTCTGAATCTAAATGAACCCACTAGACTACAGTACATAGTGACTCCTTCCTATTTCTGTGTTTTTTATCGTAATTTTTCGGCCTTCATTTCCATAGACCTTTTTTGTGTATGTTTCCGACGTTTCCCTTAACAAATGCATATCAATGGTTGTTTGTGTCCGCTGATGCAAGCAAAGTAATAGAATTGGATAAAATTCGACTTTACGCCAGTCAATCTATAGCAGCTCACATGCTATTGAGTTTGTTCACATTTAATCTGGTTAAACCCTTTTTTTAACTTATTCAACGGATAGAGTCATCAGTACAATGAAAAATTATCTACATTATTGTACCTTTATTATTTTTAAACTTGTATGAATACGTATTCTTGAGCATTGCTTACCGCCTACGCATATATTCATTCTGCTAGCTTTATTATTAGCTACCTAATTGATTCGATGATCCATTCATTTCACTATGTATATATATGTATATTTTAATCATGTTGATTGTCTCGTTGACTTGTGAACTCGCTCACATACTCGCTCATTCGACTCGTACGCACTACTCTTTCATGCTTGCTTAGCGTACTTGTAAATTAGGATATCTGTATGTGGTGCAATAATAAACGTAATAAACACTTCGTATTCGCCTTCTGATTAATACACCGTTGGTGCGTTGTCTAGTGACGGTTATCAAGACGAACTGTATACGAAGTTTAAGGATTATATTGAATAACGACCACCACAAATCCAACAATTCTCCAGCCTGGTCCACCGTAATCTGGTGTCCAGGTTATCCTGCTTAAGTTTTAACAAAACAACATGTGAAGTCAGACAAGCAGGACGAAGAATAACACGAGCACAACACAGCCAGCATGTTTGATGTGTCAACCCTACTCAATCCACCAAGAAATCCATGTTGGCTATAATTGACCTCGAGATTGTACTAACAAATCTCTGTTCGATTATTAGTCTTCGGTGTCTGAGCAATGTTGAGAATGAAAAATACTACTTTGTTAGTGTTCGGTATTATTTTACTGCCCATAAAGTAATATATCATGTCGCTTAATTGCTAGTCTGTGTTCGTGTGTACGTTGATAAATAGGGTTTCCACATGAACATAGGCTGGGAATAAAACGGAATGGTTAGTCACCACCCACGTCAATCTACCAAGGCAACAAAGGACGTTAATTTGACGGGAAGCGCATAAAACTTCATTAAAGTCAAAATGTGATAAGTGCCGCGATATCGGTTTATCACAAGGAAGTTACTTTACTCTGAGATTTAAAGAAGCTGATAAGTAATGAAAAATTGTGTCGCCACACCACTAAGTAAAATGACAGAGAAATGTTATATACATGGTATGGTGAGTTTCGAAAGACCTGATTGTCTTCACCATAGTAATCTGTATATTATTCGTCTACAGATTTTACTATACAATCGGCTATTCAATGTCATTTCGGTCATTAAACTTGATAAACCCATACTTCAATAACTCTGTTTTGGTTCGGATTAATTTCTTTGGGTTACATATTTGACTTTGTGGTTGAGAAAGTACAAATATTTTTATCTATTTTGACCCGATGAATTGTAGATAAATTATGATGGTTGTATATACATGATTAACCTCTTTCATTCAGCTGACTGAAAAGAATAATTTAACATGGTATTTGAGAAGTCCATTAGTATCTCCAAGTTTTATGCAAATCTACCTTTCTCGATTCTTTATAGGTTAAGTGCACACCTACATGTTTATTTGATATGCAGGTGTCTTTTCTCATATCAAATGTTGTAGGTACTTTAATTAACACTTTTTATGGTTGCTTTCACTACCTATAATGCAAATGTGATGGAAGAGTCAGGCATCAAATGAAGGGCTCTATATTTGATTCTCAGGTTTCAAATTGAAACTCGACCTCATCTATTTCACTTTAGAAAACCAGATAATTTCATCAGTCTTTACTCACAAAAAGTATGGCTGATAGTCGAACACGCAAACCAGGCTTTCAGTAAGTAAGAAGAACAATTAATCAATCATATTGAGATGAACAATTAAACGCTGTTTTGTGGTTCATAGTTAGATGAAACATCTCAGTCTCATTTTGGCTCATCTAGAGAAGAATAAATTTAAAGGCTGAATTAAAATGTTACTGAGGTGAAAATGATGATGAAAACTTTGAAATATTTTCTGTTATATAGTAGCTTCATGCCAAAAAGATACACATGTAAACTTGATGGGATTATAGCAATTTTAGGTATGTACCAGACTGGGTCGAAAAACTATACTTTATTACAAGTGATTTATGTTACATTTCTATGATTATTGAGATTACTCACATAACTTTGTTGTTTCTAAGCCTCGTTCATCTATTCATAAAAATATACTTAGTTATAACTATTGTGCTGCAACATTACTAATTATATCATCTCACGAAGAGTTTTTTATGGGAAGTATATTAACTCATAGTGTTGATAAAGGGTTCCCAAAATATGCGCTTCGATATATACGTCATTGTAGTTCTCTTCATCCATCATTAGACTGTCAATAAACTTATGTAATTTAGTGACTGGGACAGATACTATTTAATCCACATGTTTAATGTTTCCGGTTTATTATATAACTTAGTGAATGAGTAGATTTCGTTGACTTCAGTTCCGAATATCTAATTGATACTAAGTAATAAAATATAATGAACCTAGTATTGTCAAGACGACCCATTGAACTAGTCACATTCTGCAACTTCATTCTCATATCATGAGTTTTATAACAATTACACAGATAAGACAGTATAAATAACTCTTTATCTTTCATATCAAACATTATTGCGGTTAGTCCCAACGAGAGTATACTAGAAATAAATTTAGTTATCAGAAATTCATTCAATAGAATATAGATAATTGGTACTATATACATTTAAAGAGTGATTGAGATTTTTATGGTTAAGCAAAGTTTTCGATTTACAATAGAGACAATGACGGATATCGTATGTTTGTATTGATGTCTAATTTGTATGTATGCGTGTATAAATCAGAGTGGTAACTGTAAGATCAATGAAAATACAGAAGACAACTGAAAAAGAATATGATAGATTGCACGATTTTGCCTAGTTATACTCCATTTCCGTGGCTTACTTACTAAAAGCCATATATAATTGTTAAACTATTTGACACCTGGCTACTGGTAGGTGAGAGAAATAAGTTTCCCATTAGTTTCATTTTATGTTGTCATATTGTTTAATTGGAAGCGTATTTCTAGTTGGTCCGGGGCAATGTCTATGATATAAGTGTAAATCATCCATTACACCATAACGACAAGGTGGTAAGATGTAAGAACCATTCAGTGGTAATGGAATTCTGTAAAACAAAGAAAATAGTGAATATCACAGCACATGAACAGCATAAACTTGATGTATTTTTTCTAGAAAGTTATGTAACTATGTTTCTGTTTAAAGAAATTAGACACCTTTATTATCATTATTGTTATTATTTTACAGGCTCCATATTAAAATTGTAAGTAGCATCACAAGACTATCGTCAAACCAAGCCATATTCTAAGGTGACCTTGTTTGCTATTCAATGGTTAAACATCATTGACAAAAACACCCACATCATCCGATTCTTTGTCAAGTTCTACAGAGTTTAATCAGTTTGTTTAGCATTTATGGAAGCATACATATGCTCAAATATATATAATTCATAACTAATCGTCAATTTGTACATAAAATGTTGAAGAAATGCTACTACTTCCTAAACCGGACAGTTAGCTATATGATTTCTACCAATACATTAAATAAATCCAAAATTGTAGTCAATATCACGTTTGTCAGATCTATAGCTCTGATTAAATTTTACAGACCAATCTGTAATTTTATCACCAGTTTGGGAGTGTTCTTTGTTTTAATTAAAGATGATCAGAGGAAATTGGTACGATGAGATCGGTCTAGTTTTCATGATAATTGATTCTCACAAACAAGGAATATCTACAGTCTTAAAGAAATTGATTTACAACCATTACCACTAAGCTATTCGAGCCACATCCCATCTTTAAATACATGACATAATAGGCTATAGAACAATAATAAGGAGAGTTCACTTTAATTGATAAGTTCAAACTTATTGATGACTAAAAAGAATTTACTGCAAAAGAATACTTACTCTTCAGCCGTGAATTGACGTTTCCCTTCCAACAATTCAAAACATCGTTTATCATTCGGTTGACATACACATGCACAATCTGAAAATGTGTGCATAATAAATTTCAGTGGAGCAATACATAGTCGATTACTGCAGCTATATTTTTTTATTATAATCCAATTGTAGGGCATATGAGAAAAATTAAAAAAATATTTGGAAGTTAATGAAGTTGATAAAGTAGATGTACTGTCCATTATATCATATAAAAAATAGACTGTCAATAGAATGTTTAGCTTGATCTTAATATTGAACTAATAATCTTTCATCAAATCTCTGAATGGTTAATATTTTCTGATTGTAATAGAAGAAATAATCTGGCACCGAAGCGCTTATTGATAAGAGTTCCATTTGGTTCACAAATTCATGTATCCATGGAGCAAGGTTTTCTAAACTCTTAGTCTGCTTTTTAAATCAAAGACTGTTAGCTTGGAAAAGTAATATGAATAACTGTTATCTTCCCACTCATTTGCTATACCTAATAGGCATGTTTAAACGCCAAATAACTAAAAACATAGATGAAACCATCATTATTGTTTTCATAATAACCTAACAGAAATAGAGATTCTGCATTTATTAGTTTTACACATCTCTTTTAACATACAGTTGTATTACGAAGTTACACATATCAAGATTTAATATAAACAAAATATGATTTTGTTAGTAAACATCAATTAATCTTTTTAATAACATGATAAACTATGCAACTGAATATTAGTAAATAAAATCAAAGTTGGATATAAACTGATTCCAAAATGAGGATGCCTTCCTCTTTTCAAATTTGTTATATTTCTATGGTATTTGTACGAATTAATGATTCTTTCGTAGTGGAATGTCTGTTGATTACGAATTCTAAGTACAATACATTCATTTGTGTACGTCTAGTTCTACATACAGTAAATGACACTATTTGAGGAATTCCTAGTTGGTACAATAATTTGAATAATTTTAATCATTATAATTTCCTTTTATTTCAGTCTGCTCAGTTTATCTGACAAACAGGATCATAATTTAAGTTCATTAGTACTGTTTTATTCTAAGCATAGTTCTAAACAGTTGATCTTAACCTTAAAAGTAATATTAACACATAATCGAAAATTTGTTTGTCGATATCAATAAACACTTTGAAATGATAGATGTATTATGTAATTGTGATGATTATAAGCATTTGAATTATAGTACAAATTAAGAATCCCAGAAATAATGCAATTTAACCAAGAAGTATTAGATGGGCACGAACGAACGTATTGTATTCGGAATTCGGAATCAAGCGGTCAACACGCACAAAGGAATAATTAGTTCATACGAACACAACAGTAATTCAAAAATGAATTCATTTGATGTTGTTAGATTATCCGAATTAAAAGATTTAATTATGAAGTTACTATTTGCCATTCTGTACGTTATCATTGATGTTTACTTCTAGTTGACGAACAATAAAACTTTCACAATAACATCGAATGAACAAAAAATATTCTATGAATTCTCCACAACTGCTTACAACCAAAAACCCATCGTATCGATCATTAAAAATAAACAAGTATAAATACTTTATATTGGAGACGTCTAGAACAAATTGAGTCAATTATTTGGAAATAGAATAATATTCAGGAATAATAATACACAGGAATTTACATTGTTGTCCACATGTTGACTCAATTTATTCTAAATGTTTCCGATATAAAGGATGCACATTTGTTTATTTTTCATGATCAATACGATGGTTTTTAAGTTGTAAGTAGCCGTGGAGAATCCAGAGGATAATTTGATTCATATTATTGTGTTACAATATTTGTTCCTTCTTCTTATTCAAGTTTATAGATGAAAAAAGTTTGTATCAAATAAACAGTAGATTCAGTAAATAATTAAAAGTATTTCAAGGCTATCTTGAACATGGACAACACTTCAACACAACATTATATTTATCAGTATTTTGTTATATAGTGGAATTATAGTTAAAATAGGCCCTGGGTTCGAATCCCGTGAGACGGAATCGTGGATGCGCACTGTTGAGGTGTCCCACAATATGACGAACTGGCCGTGCAGTGCTTCCAGGTTTTCCATGGTGGTCTAACTTCAATTGACTCATGATCTTAGCTATTAAATTGAAATATAATAATGAAAAATAACACATATCATTGGTTTACGTATTCTTTTACATCTTAACTGATGAATATGAAGTAGTGAACATATTTTTCTTTCACTAAATAAGTCAGTTGTAATTGTTGATTAGTAAAGGGAAAGTTTAGTTTGTAAATTCTAATAATTGTACACTTGTGATTTGTCATAAAACGAATCCTGGAGATTTATATGGAAATCTACCTCTAAATGAATCAAATATAATTATATCTATTGATTAGTACCATTTCTTACCCTTAACCATTAGATAGATTTACAGATAACTCAACCTAAGAATATTCAGCAAATTAGTAGTTTTAATAGATTTCATATAAAATCCCTATTCATAAAGTGCTTGATTAATGAATTCAAAAATTAGTCATATTAAATCATATATATCAGTTTTCCAGTAAACACGTGAACTAAACTACTACTTATGTCAGTCAGTCAGTCAGCTACAACGTAGGACCAGGCACATATGTGCATCGGTCCAGGTTGCCATACCTCATTAGCACAACAAGATGAACACCGGATTCATAGGAGTGGTTAGGTCAAAGTTGCAACAAGGATATAATATAGGAAGGAAGAATTAGTTCGTAGAAAGAAAGATATGAAGTGATTTTAATCTCTTAGTTTAAGGGAAGACAGGGAGTGTATACACCGACGCCATTGTGATCGATTCTGAGCCATGTCACCAAGAGTCTCCAACCATTGGTTACGAAAGTCACGCGGACCCCAACCAAGTAGTCTGCACTACTACTTATGGAAATACGGCGAATAACATAATACGTAAACCTCGATTATTCTGAGTCAGTCTGGGTTTAGTAGCTATCCTTTTTCTAGCTGTCAACCGATGGAAGCTGTAGTTTGCGTAAACATTTTATTGGTACTCTGAAGTACTCATGTTTTTTCTTGTCACTAGTCATTTTGACAGTTACGATGTTGTCAATTACGAATTTCTTCGTGAATATCATCCTCTGCGTGAAGTGCTTGATGGATTATAGGAGTGAGTGAAACGAAGCTTCTGTAGTGAACGGTTGCTGAGTCATGGTTGTCCTCTTGTAAATTGAACAGTGAATATCTACGTATGACTCATTCATCAATGTAGATCACCCTACATACTCAACAAACTTAGCCCTTTGTGATTTCCTCTTGTTTCTAAAATACTTAATGCTTGTATACTGGTGGTACTGACACAATATAGACACTGACGTGGTAAACATGAAGACAAATGAAAAGTATGACTTGCTAGAACTTTCATGGATATTTTTAACAAAGGAAATGAATATAGGATAGGACTTTTCATAAATGGGAGCATTTTGTAATGGATTAGACTGGCATATTCTTAATTTAATAAAATCAAATTGGTATAAACTCAATTCTAATATTTATTAGATAGATTAATGTACATGTTTAATTTTTGTTGAATGAATTTATTTTATATAATGAAACTAACCGTGGTTGACATCCACACTGTAAATGATTTGTTAATGCAATCAGTTCGGTTGAATGAGTGAAATTTCCAAACGGTACAATCTAAAATTGTTTTTTTTAAGAGGAAGACATTGAACTAAAAAGTTTTTATTTGAAGTCAATCAATCAATAACACTCCAATATAACAAGAACTAAATCAGTATATTGAAAACTGCTAATCTGTGTTAGTCGTTACCAGCTAAATGAATATGCAATCGTGGAAAAAATCCTGGATTCGAATTCACGTCTTACAGGAGCTCGAATGAAGAGATTGCTTAGTTATTGATGATATGGTCAGAAATCCTCCCGAAAATATATATAACAGAAATACTCGCCGTTCAGAGTTACCAAAACGTTATAATATGGATTATAAATGATAGGTCTGTAGTATATAAAAATAGACATAATTGAACGACAATCACATACCATAAATACATCCCTTATTTTAGTCAATAACTGGCATCTAGTAGACTAGTAAATACCCGGCTGATTCGGGCCCTGAAACATTCATTTCTTGACGAATTTGAAGTGACTGCTTTTTTTAAAATTAGTCTACTAATAAATTTCATTGTTTTCATTTCTTGATAGATGCTGAAAACTATAGAGATCCAAAGTGAGGACTGTTTAACCACTTCAGAAATACATATTTATGTACAAGTATTTTACTATGCAAAGAAAAGGGTACAATTTGTCAGTAATTATAACAGTGAGACGAGATTACTCATTAAAAATTAGTAATGGTGATTTATTTTTACTGGTCGTTTGAATTTCCCGATTTATGTTTAGGACTGTAATTGATCAGTCACTTTTGGGGCGTGTACATTCTGTATGGATTGTTTCAATATTAACTAAAGTCACAAGCATTATGATCAAAGATAAATGGTGGCTAGCAATGGAGTCCAGGACACACGTCCTGTCCTATTTGTGACTGATCCATAGTTTGTGTTTACTTCAAACCTAGTAATTTCTTTATTGGCTTAACCTTACTCATAAGTAGTATGATTATATATTTTGAAAACTAATAAGTTAAGGTTTCTGAAATATCAGTTTGGTTGATAAGAATGAAACAAAAAATATGAGGATTAATCGCTGTTCTTACTTGCATCACAGCAACTGCAAATGTTTTTAATGAAACCTTTATAGGTAAACATTCCTCTTCAAGTGTTTCACAATTACAAGATGTATACTGATTTCGATCATTTAATATATCTAAATATTGGTCATCATAATTTACATGACTGTTAGAAGAAGATGATGAAAGCGGTGTGAATTCTGATCGCTCATAATCATATTCTTCATCATAATTTGAAAATGAGTTTGTATAATGATTACAACGTGAAATTTCTTGTTGACCACATCTTTGAATGTGTATACCACGTGGTATAATAAGAGCTGTATGATGATGATGATGGTCATGATTTGGTTCTTGGTGTTGTTGCTGGTGATCATGATTAAGACGAAGAAGTGCTTCTGTACATAATGTTCGATTCTGTGGTTGGCAAGATATCATTTTGAATTCTTGATAATTTTCAAAAGCTCGTCTTAATTCATCTTCTGAATCTGCAGAATAAATATATAGTTGAATTTTAACTATTTTGTATTATTATTATTATTATTATTATTATTATTATTATTATTATTATTATTATTGACAGGAATAATTTATTCTTATGAAAAATGATCTTAGATTTGTTATTCCAAGTGATCAGATCGATCTTAGTAATTGTTAACAGTTTTCAGTTGCCATGTCTACATTTCTATAAATAGTTGTTGAAAATTGAACGAACAGTTTGACAGAAGCTCAATCCAATTTACTTAACAAAATGTTGAAATTACTTGAAATTTTAATAACTTGGAACATTTCAAATATGATTTTGATTTATTTTGTCATGTTTCAAATTTTTAACAAGAATTCAATGAGGAAAACAGTAAGATAAACTGGTTAATGTTAATATTTTTGTATGAACGTCATAGAGTTAGAAGTTTGTGCAACACATCTAACTGCTTTATTCATCATAAAGATGTAATATTTGAAGTTACTTAAAATGCAAAGATGATCTTTTTGATGAAAAGTTAAGTGACAGTAAAACCTAAACTCTATAATTCTACTCCAGATGACTCGATAATTAATCATATTTTATACAGGAAGAATTTAGGTTATTCGTATCTTTTTAATTGAATTTTTAAACTAGGAGATTCTAACATAGAAAGCCTCATTTGATAATGAGATTCATATCTCTATTTAATGGAAATGACATAGATGAGAACTTCATGAAATCGTTTAACTTACAACTGTGTAATTGATTAGGGTTTAATTTGAAAATACAATTCAAGGTTTTTTGGAGCTGTCTACCAGATCCTAAAACACTCAAAGGTTTATTCGTACAATACCATAGTGCTGTTTAAATCATCCTAACTAGATTACCTTATTAAGGCTTTTTATGCATGTTTTTAAAATAAACTAATGCCATTATTTGGTTCAGAGCATTGGCAAAGAACATACCATTGTAATAGTGAACACAAGAATCAAAGATATTCATGGTAAATAATTCACTACTTGTGTAGTTTACCATTAAATAATGTAATTTAATAGCTTGTTTCTTTAAACAAATAAGCTATTTCACAGATCGATTCATGAGTCAATTGAAGCTAGACCACCACGGAAAACCTGGGATCACTGGACGGCCATTTCGTCCTAGCATAGGACTCCTCATCAGTGCGCGCCCACGACCTAGCCTCGCGGGACTCGAACCCGGGGCCTGTCAGCCTCGCGCGCGAGCGCTCAACCGACTAGACCACTGAGCCGGCATCCGGCGGTGTTAATGTCTAACTTCAACCAATCCACGAAGTTGCGCCACCGTATACCATTGTCTTCAGTGGGCTGATATCTCACAACAGACCTGGTTGAACTCCACTGGTAACGACTTCTCACTAGAACTCCAGGAGTATCTCTTGAAGTCAGTCACTAGTGAGCAGATGAATGTTATCAGAAGGGATTCTGGGTTCGAATCTCGCGGGATGCGGGATCGTGGGTGCGTACTGCTGGGGAGTCCCATACTAGGACGAAACGGCCGTCCAGTGCTTCCGGGTTTTCCATGGTGGTCTAGCTTCAATTGACTCATGATTTCAATCTGTGAAATTTCTAAAATCTCCACAAACCCCTTCTGAAAATAAACTATTGATTATTTAAAAATATTTGAATATTTGATTGAACTGGTGTCTAGTTTTGGAATTGAACATGGTTAAACCCAACGGAACAAGTACTGTAACGTATATAACCCAGGTAATCCGTTGTAGAAATCAAAAAAGCATACAAAACATAGGAACTAGACAGAGTCAGTCATAAAATTTAGCATTTAAAATACTTTTGTTACTTAGATCATAGCTTGTTTGACGTCAGAAATGCATTTTTCTCTACTTACGTTATCACTAATCAATGATACATTCAATGGTATAGAAAAATGAAAATATACTTTTTATCAGAGATTAGTTTACCTCTGATTTAGAAAACTATTCGACGTATTTGTATAGCTATCATAAAGCTATCATATTTCATTCAATTGTTTATATAAAATCAGCAATAGTTGATCAAACTTCGCGTAATGAAACAATATAATATGAATTTCACTGATTGAAATCATGAGTCAGTTGAAGCTAGACCACTATGGAAAACCTGGAAGCACTGTACTGTCGTTTCGTCCTAGTATGGGACTCCTCAGCACTGCTGAGGAGTGATGATTTCAGTCAGTGAAATTTCTAAAATCTCCACAAAACCCCTTCTGATAATAATATGAATTGTTTCTTAGGATAACTCTTGAAATACATTGATACTGCGTTGCAAACAATAAAGCAATGTGATACATTACTTTATTTCTTGCTTAGGTAATGTTTTCATGGTGTCTTCACTATGTTAAGTAACTGGAAATTATTGTATACAACTTTCAGATTTAAACGGTAGGGAGCTATAAGCAAAACACTCGTTTGGTGGAATTTATCACTAAGGTGTATGTGTAACCTGGATGAGATCGATAGAATTTTCTGAGACTCACTTAGATAATCTAACGTAATTGTAGGAAATATGACTACTAAGAGGTAGTGACATCGAATCCTAGGTAACTCAAATTTAAACCTCGATGCTTAAATACTACATTCCTTAAAATTATAGCATTTGTCTCAGACTTCTTGATATATAAAAGAAATCCCTAGTTAGAAATAGGCAATGATATTCCTAATCACTTAACTGTTATTGCATACAATAGATTTTTCATCAGTAACCATATAAGTCAAAACTATTGAACCATAGAGATCATAAAAGGATATAAATGGAACTATCACCATTATTATTATCATCATCAAGACATGACTTACATGACTCTTCATTGGGATATCCCCCAGAATCGATTTTCACTTCATCGGATTGTAGATCTTTTGATAATTGTTCATTAGTTTTACTCAAGATATGTGAAAATTCTGTTGCTAAATTTATTTTCAATGGACTTTGTTTATTATTATTACTACTGTCAGGTACAATTGCACGACCTTCACGATTACTTATCTTTCGTAGTCGTAAACTATCCGCAAATATTCCTCCACCAATTCCACCAGAAAACTGTATATCATTTAAATTTGAAGATGATAATGATTCATGAATTTTTTGTCGTTCTGTTAATGATTGTGAATCTAAACGTGAATTAATCGTTTTTTCATTATATTTCAAATCTGTTTTAACACCTTTAGTACCGATGATAATTTTTTTGAAGTCATAAAAATTTTGTGCTTTTTTAAATTGTTTCGCTTTTTCATTGGTAAGCATCGTTGAAAAATGCCGTAGATAACGATGATATTCATCAAGACGTCTATGCTCTTGTTTATGACGTAACATTTTTAATTTTTGCTCTCTTTGAATTTGTACTTGTTGTACTAATTTGAAACGTTCCCATTCACGTATCAAATTGAATGCCTTTTTTATAATAAAAAAATAATAATAAAGATTCTTTTTGTTTGAGTAGTGAATAAATTATGAAATAATAAGTGATTTCTAGTAGTTATTGAATATTGAACCTACTTAAGTTTGTTGCTAAGTTATTTAATAGCAGAATGATAATACTCCTCACCAAAACTGAATGATCATTTTAGTGTATTCTGATTAATGTTCTATTTCAAAAGATTTTTATGACCCGAGATCTGACTCCATTTAGATCGTATGAATGATTGTTTTCAAAATATACATCCTGACTATCCTCGTATACAATCATCATCTTAAATCGCGTTAATGAATAACGGAATTAAATAAGTCAAATTCGAGAATGGATTTTGAATACGTATATTTTGTATAATCATTGATCGGAACAGACAATCAGAGAGACGTAGAGAATAAAGCGAAGAGAATAGAACGAAGCGAAATGACGCACGGTGGAGAAGGTGTGTGAGCCAACTCCTTTTAATCAAGTGTTAATCGATATTTATAGTCGGATGGTAATAAGTTACAGACATGTGATGAGATTTGAAACACACCCACACATACGGTTACATAAAAAGTCAAGGTTGATAAGCGAATAATCAACAAGGTCAAAATGTGATTCAAGAAGAATGAATAAATTAGTCTGTCCGAAAGCGAGAATAAGTTGTGTGGGCTTAACATAGCAACTGGCACTACAGCATTATGAACTTTCTTCTTGTTAATTTACATCAACTTTAATCTGAATTTATGTTATTCATTTCTTATCATTACAATTTCCTTATTTGTTTCAACTTAAGTAACTAATGTGTACTAGTCTTTATTGTTTCCAACCCTTATTATCTGTAATTGTTTACAGTGATTACAATACCATGAAATAGTATTCATTCATTTAATCAAGTTAGTTTTGTTTTTTCTTAATAATGTTCCTCCATATTTTAAAATAATCTATTAAAATAAACAAGTGAAGAGAACGGTTAGTGTTACCGATTAGATTTTCTAGATTTTCTATGGTGAATAATTGTTTCCATACAAATCAATTGAATATCAGACTAAATTTAACAAAGCGTTTGCCTAGTAGTTAAATGGTTTAAAACACTTTTTCTCATATACTCTATTCTGTCTACCTGCGTTTGGATAGACCTCACAAGAATTGAGTAGTTTAAGGTCAAGTATACCGATCTGTACAATAGTGATGATTTTGATTTCTATTAACTGAATTTTAAACCAATATCAGACCACTGATAGAATCAAGTTCTTTCGTTCTAGTTTGAAACTCTGAACAAAGCTATGTTGCCAGCAACAACAAAAAAAACTAGTTGATTCACTACATCAAGATAAATGAAACAATTGCTTACATGAAAAAATGACAGAACAACTAAACAATATGATTTGTTTATTACTTGTCGAAAATAATAAACACTTAATTAAGTAGTCAGGAAAGGTTTGTTATTTGTAAAAGATAGATTGGTTTTCTAATCACTAGCAATATTATACAGTTCATTTAAATTCATAGATCTCTTGATAAGGCTGTCTCTATTTCCCTCAATTACGTCAGCCTATCCTTACAGATGTAGTTATTACCACGAATCGATATACATGCATCACTATTATCATGATTAAATCTCAAATTTAATATCTTCCTCAATCAGTCAGTAGAAATGAAACAAATATTAACAGTGACATCAATTACTTCTCAACATTTTACAACTACATTTTATGGTGTAGGAGTAGGTTGGAAGAAGGTTAGGGGCAGCAAGACCAAATCATACCATAAATTATTGAATTCACTGAAAAGTGAACTGAGATATTTTGATAAGTGTAGACTATCTGGTTGGGATCCGCGAGATCTTGAATGACATGGCTTAAAATCGTTTGCAATGGTGCAGGTGCATCCACTCTTTGTTTTCTCCCAAATTCTAATCTTCTGAATTCTTCATGTTCCCTTTTTTCTCATTCCAAACATCTTCAAACCCTAATCTTTCCGATTACTGCCTATCTTTTTACCACCTCTACTACTACGGGATTCGAATCAACAATTGTATCTCTGTGTTAATGTGGTATGGCAACTTGAACTGGTGTATGTACGTACGCAGTTCTACGTTGTTACTGACTGGCAACTAAATTTCTTGTGAAATAATACTTTTATTTGTAATGATATAACTTGATTAATGAAGAGGTTATAATGTAATAAATTCACTTGATGAAAAATACAAATTATAATATTAAATTTGTTTGATATCTTATTAGCTTTAACATATCATACATAACAAGTAAGTATATGCATATTACTCATCTTCTTTAAAACGAATATCTTTTATTTTGTAAATTAGATTCTCATTATCATAAACTGACATCTGTTGCTAACATATTTCTCTTATGTCCAGACATTTCATTAATGTATACTAACTACTACCACCATAACACTGAATCTAGTATCTGGGGGAGTGTTTTAAAAAAAAATTTCAACTATAATTTATTGTATATTATTCAATCTAATAAGGTATGATCCTGTTTATTTTCTTCGTTCAGTTATAATTTCAAATAATTTGCCTAGTTTTGTCTATCAGACAAAATAAATACAAAAGTTCCAACTACATAACTTATGTTTTTGTTATTTATCTTCTTCTTTTTCTCCTTCTTCTTCTCCTTCTTCTTCTTATTATTATTATCATTAACATAAATCTTAATTTATTATCCCATTTAGAAGGTTGGATACACTTTTGTTTTGTATGTTTCTTCTAGTAGTGAATTCATTCCCTAATCAATTTTTTATTCAATTACCTAACCAATCAGTCTGTTGAATGATCAATAACATTTTTCTAAATTATATTCACTGTTTAAGAAAATTCTTTATATTTCCTCCCTTGCCTAGATTATCTTTTATTTTATCTGAATAGGTAGAATAATAAATTGGAGACAAAATTATCATATTGTATTTTATAATATCTCTCTAAAGGATAGAAACTAATCAAAGGCGTCTATACACATATTGTTTATACTCTATACATACATATATATATATACATTTTGTAATCTACAAAGACCAACTACGTATACTGAATTATATCCGAATATTTTAGAAAAATATAAAACAAAGTAGAAGTAACATTTTTCTTCTCTAATGTTAAGATACTTCTTTTTGTACTGGTTTGTGGATATCTGAGTCAGATAGTTCATTATCTTTATAAACTACATAATTAGCGGTTCAATCTTATACATTTGAATTGATGACTGATGAATTCACAAAATAAACTGATGGAATAATGACCATTTATTCTCTAGTGATCAGCTTCTTGATGGCTTCACCTATGATGTTAACTAGTGAATAATAATTTCATCTCTGAAGTATTGTTCTCCAGAGTTATGATGACTAAAGCATCGGTAATGAGTAAATATGTGTTATTTGGTAAGAATTTAGGATTAGTAGAAACTAATACTGGTTAAAAATGTAATTCGTGAAAAAGTGCACTAGATTAGTCTTATCTGTTTTATCTTTAGACCAGTATAATTGACTGCGAAGTAAACAATAGGTGTGTGTGATGATGACACTAGTTGTTACTCGGACAGATCTATGTGGTTCATGGCACAAACCTATTAATTAGTAACTGATAGTCAAACGCACAGATCGCTGATCCACCACTCCAGTTAAAGTTGAGATTATAAAACTAAAAACTAGGCAAGTGTTTCAATTTTATTCATGGTGTATATGTTCGAATCATCCAGGCTTCATATGATAACAAAAACGCTTAAAAATGAAGACAATAAAATAGAAAAGTGATTAACTTACCGTAATCAAATCTACTGAAGTTCGATTATATCGTACAAATTGAAATACAAAGTTAAAAATATCATTTTCAACATTGTATGCGATAAATGATTGACTTGTCAGCTTTCTAGGCCTTACTGATATTCCAAATTTAGTTGACTTTTCTTTTCGTGAATTCTGTGAACCATAAGTTAATGGTAAGGATGATGTTGAAGATGATGACGATGTCAATGAGACATAATTATAATGATCTTTCTTTCGATTCGCTACTAACGGCGAAAGAATGTAATGTGCCACTGAAGGAACATGGCGTTTTTCTCGTTCAAGTAGTTTACTGACATTAATAAATATAAGTGGATCATTTGTAGTATCAGTATTATTGTGCACGTCCGAAACACTTCTATTCCGATAACTTACACTCCGTAATCTTTGTTCTGAATTCTGATGGTCTAATTTACCATTAATAACATTATTATTGTTATTCCGTTCAAGCTTTATTGTTTGCTAAATTCAAAACAAAGTAACACCATCCAATCACATGACTTGTACTTCATTTTAAATGAACAAATAATCGAATTTCAAAAAAATCTGCTGTAACAGGAAATTAATCAAACAAACTAGAAATTTAAAACAATTAGTCCAGTTGATAAATTTCCATAATGTAATTGGAAGACGAAGATTATCAGAACTATGTGATATATTAGCGCAATAGATTTCGAACAATCTGATCACTTATATACACGGTAGAGAAAAAGCCTGTCTACATCATCTTACCATTCAGAGGTGATTCAAATAGCCTTTTACTGAAACAAAGACTTAAATCAGTCATCAATAAAACGTATTGCGCAGCAAAGGTCATCATCAAAGGTAGAACAAGGTGCACGCTTCATTCAAAACCTAAAAGACATGAAAACGATTGTGTCACATCCCACTGTGTTTACCTATTTAAATGTGTGTGTGGTCACACATACATAGGGAGGAGCAATCGTGATCTCAACATTAGGGTACCCAAATGGCTGCAGAAACAACTACAATCAGGTGACCCAATAAGAGCGGAGGATAAACATCCATCATCCTCTATTGCTAAACATATAATTGAAACAGGTCACAAGATTGATCTAAACTCAACTTTTGTGGTATTGTATAAAAGTGTAAAAGGGCGTATACTAAGGTTTATTGAAGCCTTAGTCATACGAAAATTCAAACCCCCTTTGTGTGTTCAAAACCAGTTTGTTCTTACCTTAAACCTACCCTGGTAATGTTGACTTATTATCCAGAGTGATTAGGTTACGAATTGTGTTCACATTATTATTATTATTACTCTTATCGTTATATAGGAAAAAGAGAAATCAGCGAAGAAAACTTTCTTTTCGAGGAAATCATTTACTTAAGCTGTACATTCGTATATATAGTTATATGGAAAATGTACAGCTTAAGTAAATGATTTCGTCGAAAAGAAAATTTTCTTCGCTGATTTCTCTTTTTCTTATTCAATGACACTATGGGTTATTTTAATTATCTTATCATTATCCTTATCTCCTCTTACTCCGTTTCCAGTCTAGTTGACCTTTTATTTTTATATATAAATGCTCTTAACAAGTATATGTGTGATCAGATTGTTCGAAATGTATTGCGCTAATATATCACATAGTTCTGATAATCTTCGTCATCTAATTACATTATCGAAACTAGAAATTTCTAATTCCCAATATGGAAGTCATCATTGTAAAGTCAATCTGAACGATACTATTTGACACATAACATAACCTACTTCATCATTTACAGTTATGATAGGTTATTAGTTTATTGACAAGTTATTTCAACCTAGTAGTCATGAATTTTCATTGAAGTCATATAACTCAAATGATACTTTTCATGGAAGAAGAAGACTGCATACTACTGAAATACCGCCCAATACAAAAAGGTAGTTACTAGTATAGGGGTTGTGGAGATTATTAAGTTTTTGATTGAGATCATGAACCGATTGATGTTAGACCATCACCTTCGGAAACCTGTAAGCACTGGACGACGGCTTCGTCCTATTGTGGGTCTAACATCAATTGGTTCATGATCTCATTCAAAAACAAAAAGGTAGTGTTATCAGCAATTAATTTATGTGCCATATTTTTTGAAGAAATTCTGTTGCTGATTAAATGTTAAGCTATACTTGGAGAATTGATGACAAATTTATAATAAACGATTTGTTTAGTAACTATGACTATTTAGTAAGTCAAACAAGCTAGGGCTTTATAAGAAGAGATGGATGATAGCTTGCAGTGGAATCAAGGAAGTATATTTCATCCGATTCGGGACTCGACATCCAAATATATATGCATCCCAGAGTTAAGTTATAATACACACAACATGTACATGTGCCAAAAAAATTGATCAATTCCAGTCCTAAGCATAAATGATTTAAACATGCAAAGTAAACGAATCAAAATTGGGCTTATTTAATGTTATTACATAATACATAAAACACGATTATTCACTTACTACGACTTCTTGCTTTTTAAATAATTTATTCTTAAAATTTCGTAATTCTATTACTCTCAGAGGAGTTGATATTGATTGGTACTCTTAATACATCTAATTCGCTGTTATTTAATTGATGATACTAGGCTATACTTCATATTACTTGCTTAATTCTTATGGATTGTCATTTTAATTGAGTAACCTTCCATGTACTAAATAAACCATACCCAAAGAACAGCTTATTTACGTGTTAAATGAAAGTACCTGATCTCAATGATGCAATGGGAGTAATCCTAGAAAGGCAATAATAATTGGACGTGATAAATAATGATCAAGCAGTTCCAGTTTAATATTTTTACACTGCATTACACTGAATATAAATTTGTACAGCATAGGTACTTGACAGGAGAAAAGGATAACTAAAATCAATTATTAGTTCAGATAGGTTTCTGAACTCATTTAATAACCATTAATTTAGTGCATGTCTGTAACATTTTAAATAGTTCGATCATATATTTAACATGTCCAAAATATAATTCTGAAAAGATAGAAAAATTAAATCGATGAGAAATGTAAGACAGGCAATAGTAGTAATAAGGGGGAAAATAGTGTTATCATATTACCCTAAAGATTAAGATGAAAATCAATATTATCAAGGTGGGGTTAATGTAAAAATAAACTGTTTCTAAATACATGGGGAAGGATTAAATGGTTCCGTTACCAGGGCATCAATAAATCTGGATATTATTCTCTAATCACTTCCTTTAGTTATTTTCAACATAAAATAACTTTAGATTCATTTGCTTTTACGGTTATTTAAGGAGATTTTTAACTGTCCTCAACTGTGCTATACACTTAGTCATCTTGGTAGATGTTATTATCGACACAGAAGTTATTGTGTAACAACCATTCATATACTCTCTAGTTTATGCTCAAAATAAAGATTCAGTATTCACATTAGCAATGACATAGCAAATACATCGGGTTTTGTGAACCACCTAGTTAGTTATTTATTTGGAAGTAAGACTACATGTTTCACATATGAATGTCATGGTTATCGAGATATCATTGTGAGGAACGGGATACAATTATTCAAAAATAAAAGTAATTTTAATTACATACTAATATCAACTAGAGAGATAAAGAAAATCAGAAGTCTTTGTACAACGCTTTATTATGTCTTCAGACTCTTCAGAAATGCTAAACCTCGGCTTTATTCTGGGTCCTGAGCTGAGTACGATTTCCATTCAACTACCAAATGAAAATTTAAGGTTAAACTACATGCTTTCAGCTAATTGGTTCCATGAAATAAACATTATTCAATATCACCAAAGTTTCATTCTAAATCATTCAATTCCACAAAAATTCCGTTAATGTCTCTTGAAACTAATTACAAATGGACCTACAATTATTATTGAGTTGATAACTTTGTAAAGATTATCATATTAAATAGTTTATATAGTAGTAAATACAATAATTCATAATCCTACATAAGTGAATAATATCACACATTTTCAAAGTTCAATTAGAGTTTGATAGTGATGTTTGTTTCATCGTAACAGATAACCATTAAATGTTCTCCAAATTTAGTGCTTTGATGTATTCTTGAAATGTTTACTGTCGGTTACTAAGGTGGCTTAACAACTAAAGCTAATTTATTATCAATGGTTTTTATGTTCCCGTTATTAATATTCAGGATTGCAATCTGTCAATATCTATGTCTGTTTTATTAAAGAAATATACAAAAACATACGTTACATGTGACTTAATTTCTACAATTACATTCAGTTGTTTATAAAAAAAAGTAAGTCAAATTACAAAATATCAGTCAGTTAAGTGTTCAAAAGAACATGAAATGAATTTTTTTGGAAAAAAAAACTTAATTTGGAATAAGACTAATATTCTACTATTATTCTGTATGTATAAATAGTAGATCGATTGAAACAACAGTAAATCTAAAGTGCTTAATACATTTGTTAATCACTCCGATATACTACACATTACGAAATAGAGGTAATTTGAATAAATTCTAGGTCGAACCGTTTAAATATCAACTGTATCAAAGGAAAGCAACACGTATTTGTATCATATCCTACTGAAGTGAATGAGAACAAAAGTGAGGACAATATAATGTATTTGAATACAAAATTACAGGGCATCGTCCGAGACTTCATTTATTTTTCGTTTTCATACCAATTATTCTTTGTTCTCGTTCTCTTTTATTTACATACTACTTATATCTGTCGACATCAGTAGCACAAACCACACTATCTTGTTTGGAAATAACTAATAACCACTTTGTAGTTATGTGCTAATAAATGTTCCTGAATAAAAATATTCTGTCTATATATATGTTTGACATTGTTAACAGACTGTGAGTAGAATCATATGACTATTCGTTTTAACGTATCATTTATTCGGAGAAGTATCCTAATTTCGGTTTGCGATTAAAAAATAACTTCACATTAAATGATGATTTATTGGTCATAAGTTAAAATCCCTTCAGTTTAGGCAACCAAACCAAAAAAAGATAAGACAATGAGATTATAATTTATGGATGACTTTTGAACACCGCTAAAATGACCTTGAAAACGTCCATCTCGGGTTCAATAAAGGTCATAGATTATGTAAGAAATTAAGATTCAGATGTATAGTTGAAAATTAGAATTAGAAATCAGACTCAATGATTACATCACGAACTAACATAATCTATAATGTTGTAATAATATTTAACCAAAATAAATGAATAAATTTCGTGCCAAAATTCTAAGATCTACTATGTTAAATATAACTGATTCATTCATAAATTATAGTTTCACTGATAAAGCATATTCTTATGCTTGAGCATCTGGGCTACGTGTTCCTGTCATCTAGATATTTTAACAAGTTATCTATTTTTGTTTGTTTTAATATATCATTATGTTTATTAATCGCAACCTTTCGTTGTCAGTTACAAAAAACACAATAAGAGACAATGTGGTTGCTGGCAATATACAACGAATGAATGTACATTATTCAGATGTTTATTTATTGAACTGCTAAGATCTAACTGACGATCACTCAATATTTATCGCCAGAACCGACCAAGAAGAAAGAAACGGAAACTTGTTGAAATAGTTTACGCTGAGAGTTCTATATTGTACCAAAAATATAATATTGAATAAAGCTGATGATAATAATAATAAAATAATAATAATATGTTTTCTATTGACAAACCATTGTGACTTACTGTGATATTTATATTCCCTATTTCTTTATTATTATGATGATGATTTGTTTTATATATTTTTTTCATTGATCTATTTTTAAACCAATCAAATGTTTTAGAATTTTCTAGAACATTTTGTTCAATTGATAATGGTACCATTTTTGATTTTTTCACAATTTCTGTTGCATAATATTCATGATTATTATTATTATTATTATTATTATTATTATTATTTATTAATTGTTTATTAGTTTTCCATTTAATATTTGGTTCATATTTTAATATATTTTGTCCATTTATATTAGAGATATGAAATTGAATAATAATTACAAATAGATATAGATATAGAAACATTGAATATTGTTGAATTTGTTTAAAGTTATTCATGAAACAATTCAATGAAACTTCTTTCAGAAACATTTGATTTAATGAATAGAAATTTATGTTTTGGTTTTGTTTTGTCTTATTAAATCAACATTAAAAATGGAATGTACAAGCAAAAACAAAGTAAATGTTGATGAACTTTATTGATAAGTAGAATAAAATGACTTTTTTTTATTTATTATTGACTTTTGAAATCAGATGTACTATAATGGAGTATTCATAGAACACAATGTGTAAATATAATATAGTTGCTAGTGAATTTTGTTATAAGATTAAACAATATGGCAAACGATTAGACAATAAATAAATAAATAAATAAAAATTAAACTGTAAATATTTTTAACCAATCAGTGTAGTTTATTAACTAACCAATCAAATAAGTATGTGAATTATATTTGTACAAACTATGAATGGATGTTTGGAATTTATATTCATTTATGACTTTTGATGAGAAAATTTAATAGGAAATATAAGCAAAGATGAATAGTAGTTAGCAGTGAATAAAGGCAATATCGAGGTGATATGCATAGAATGTACATATGTCAATAAGAGACTGATTAATTGCAGTGCTAAACATTAATGGGAAGTGATACGATGGGAAGAAAAGTTAAAATTTGATCGTTTGCTCATTATAAGCTTTGTTCAACATTAGTTCCGTCTTAATTCAATGTGATGGTTACTTAATGTAGTATTTGTTTCCCCTTTCCATTGTGATCTTTTATTCTGTGTATAACATACGTTATTCTTGTATTAAATTAACATGAGCTATACTCAGTATGTAATTTGTTATAACTCTAAGTACTTTTCATATATGTGATATCATCCTAATTATTAATGAGAAATGGGTATACGAATCAATGTATAAATGAGTGTATTTTTGATTAGGGTGATCGTGGCCGTGTTTTGGGGGTTAATAAATCTTCACTTATGCCAGTCTTCGTGTTCTTACTTTCGTGTCATAGGAATTGCAGAGGTTCCTCGTTTCAAATATAGGTGATAAGCGTTTACGAAATAACAATCAGCGATGACCAGATATAACGAGTAGCGTCCAATCGATAAGACATATCTAGATGATTTAAGTAAAACAACACCAAGTGAGTTTAAATGGAAATATGTTTGTATATTTGAAGGGGTTTTGTGGAGATCACATTAATTTGTAAATTGTTTTTGTTCGCCGATTGATTGCAGTTGAAATATTATTAAAAACTGGGGACGGCTGTTTCATCCTAGTATGGGTTTCTTCAGAACTGCTTATCCACTACTCTTCTATAGATCAAAGTTTAGACGTTATAATTATATATATATATCAGAAAATGTCTAAAAAATTATACCAAAAACTTAGTGTTTCAGTTTGTTTATTTTAAGAATTTAAGGATTGTTTGAATGGATTGCTTCTATTTATGATTTCTGCAAAGTTGGTTTTTACTCACTACCCAAAATCAGTCTAAAAGCTAAATTGCGTATTGGCTGTTCACTGATGTCATATCGTAAACGTACGTGGTACGTATTTTAAGGTACATGAAAGCACTTAATCTAAGTCCACTTTTAGTAAACAACCAACAAGAAGGTATTTGTACAGTACTAAGAAAACTGATGTTCTCTACAGGTTTCAACTTGTGTAACATATCGTTACTGCCAAAGACACTACAATTAATCTATGTCGTAAATGCTCCTTTAAATGATCAAAATCCTTATACACTAATCGATAATTTATTGATAATCGGTATCATTTTGTTTATTCCTTAATGCTGATTGAATTCTATCGATCAAGTTATAGTAAGGTTACCAATCTATATGGTAATGCACTTTGTGGCATCTAATCGACAAATCTTACTAATATAAAGATTTTTTATTCGGCAAGGTATTTTCTTATGCTACTGATTTAGATACTAAATAAATGAAGAGGGTCGAAACATTCCATTTTACTAATATGACCTTCTGACCTTATTCGGGATTTGCCTATATTAATCAAAATAAAAGGTGATTCACATTATTCTGTTTTAACTAGTCAAACAAGTTAAGACTATAAGTAGAGGGAAGGATATAATAACTATTTATTGGATCGGATGAGGAGGAAATAGTCATTACCGCTAATATATATATATATATATATATATATATATATATATATATATATATAGAGAGAGAGAGAGAGAGAGAGAATAAATATCCACTCTGAAGAAGTCGCCTACATTAAGTCACGAAACGTCGGGAATGCAAATTCTTTCTACCCATTGAAATATAACAAAAAATATATTTATTATTACTAAAAACTTTGTTGAACATATTGAAAATGAAACCATTGTATTTGGCTATTTAAACTTTATATCACACTGAATATTTTATATTAGATTTATTTTTGTATTTTTTAGGAGCTTTCAAAATTCCAAAGTTATTTGTACCCATTGGAATAGATATCGATCTGTGTTCTTGAATAATTTCATTCAAGTTAGCCGTATAATTGCTTTTATAGTAATAATAATAATAATATAGAATAGTATTGAATAATACTAGAAAACTTGAAGTAAATGAAATTGTCAAAAAGAATATTTTCGTTTTTGAACTGTCTTTATTATTATTCTTCTTCAGTGATACGATAGATCTTTTTCATGAATTCTGGTTATATTTTCATGCTTATTTGACATTGATAATGTTAGATGAAACTTAGTTTATAAACTTCCTAGAATTAGTGAATGATTTTTTATAATAATGGTAAAAGTTCTTGTAAAGTGATTACTAGTGTCAATTATTTCAGTTTCATTTTGATAATGATTTGAAGGATTTAATATATAATGAAATCATGAGTCTACCTAGGTTAGATAACAATTGAAAACCTGGAAGCACTGGATAGCTTTTTTGTCCGAGTATTGGACTTCTCAGAAATATGTGTTCACGACCCCACACGCTGAGACCGAACCCAAAACCCTATGTCCTGCATATGAACGCTTGTCATGCGCTCACTAGTAACTAACTTTTAGAGGAAAGTTTTGGAGTTTTAGTAGGAATCTGTAACAACTGGAGCTAATTCGTGTAGGATGTCGAGCAGTTATCCATTAAGGACAATGGAAGATGATTACCCAATACTGAAGATTTGTTGAGGTTAGATATTAACACCATTAGACACCAGCTCAGTAGTCTAGAGACTAGACGTTCACTTCCGAGATGGAAGGTTCTGGATTCGATTTCCGCGTGCAAAGTCGACGATGAACATTGGTGCGGAGTCTCATGCTAGAACAAAACAGTACTCTGGTGCTTCTAATTTCCCGATAGTTGTCGAAATCATATCGGTTTATAATTTTAACTCAATCCAACAATATTCACAACCCCATACTGAAAATTTTTATATCAAGTGGTTAGTCCTTCTTTTAAATGTTTTAAAACTTCACAATTACGTTTATTAGCTATCGCTAGTTTTTAATTTATTAAATTACATTCTATTACCTACTTACTTCAAAGTAATAACTGTTGAGTAATCTAATTCTAGCTGATTTCAATGATCTCCTAACTGAAAATTACTTCATAAATCATTTAATTATCAAACACAACTTTAACTTGGTAAATTGTCTCAATTTTCTCCGATTCACTTATACTACTAGGATTGATTGAAATGAGATTTATTCATGGATACTTTACTTTGAAATGGTTAAACAATTTAAACGTGAATATTATTAAAATTTGCTTTTATCATTAAATAGAATTTTATCAGACTTTGACTGACTAGGAGTTACTAATTATTTCTTGTTTGTATGTATTTCTGTATTTATCTTTGCCTAACCACTTGAAGTATTTTTATGGCTAGTATTCTTCATAGCTTAACCTCAACTGAAGTAAACCAGATAATCTGTGTTAAATATCACTTGGATGAAAATAAACTCAACTCCGGTTTACAATTTCGGTAGTCTACTTAGTAACCAATCAGGATGAATCGGGAATTATAATTTCCGCCATCTTCGTAAGCAATAGTGGTCTGCTAGTCTCGTTCGGTGTTTTTCGGCAGGCTTTTTGGTATCGCTGCAGAATTTAATTCACCAGTGTACTGAAATCCCGCAATTTATGTGATATTCTAAGTGTTGGCGTTCACTTTTTCGAATCAGTTTTGTTTTATCAGTTTTTACAACTTCTACTCGAATCAGTGCATTCTTTCAGACGTGCTTACGTGCTTTATATGATAAAATGTCAATCCATTTTTTAGATATCAGACACCCGAGTGAGTATTTTTTAGCTGAAATAAATGTCGTTGCCGTCTGGGATTTTCTAACTGTCCTCATGCTCTGTCCTAAGTGTCATTTATGATGTTATCGATAACTATAATAGAAAACGATCTCTGGATTGTTATTCTATTTAGTATTATGGATAACCTTCTACCATCAACGAGTCAAACTAATACTGAGTGTTCAGTTGTTGTGGATACTAGTGATCTATTCGAAAGGATTATGTGAGCCAGGAACCTGACAAACTGAGACCAAGTCAGAAGTGCTATAGATATATTATCTAGGGTTTGTTATTGAATATATAGAATTATTAGATCACTTGGACTCATTACACTGAGTGTGAAAGCAAAGTGAACTATGAAAAGCCGGAAATCCTCTATCAGTGTTTTGTGTATGTTTGTTGTTTTGGCCATAAAATGAAGTCAAAGGGCAATGGTCAGAAAGTGAAAGGGTAAATAATAGCTATTATGTTCTTTTCTTTATAGATCAGAATTTACCGGTTGCCAAGCAATGTTTCGCTTGTGGTGTTTTCAACCGGTACATAATGGCTTCATCTAAGATGATCCACAACTATCCTTGCGATAGACAGTATCTGACAAATGATGAGTGCTTCAGGAGATTAACTAATGATCCGTTACAAGTTGTTATACCAATGATAACAACTGGCAGTGGTTCTGAGCAGATTGTTAAGTATGTCGAAAATAATTTTGGAAAGACGATTATCCTTCACTATGTCAACAATTAAAAAAGTAAAGTTGTCAAACGTATGTTTTTCCTATAGATCTGTAGTTTGTTAGGTATTGGAAGTTTCAGCTATGTGTTTTCAACCTTACGTACTGGTGAGAATGTGTTTGTATGCTGTGGTGGGGGATGCCAACCAAGTTCCGAGAACAGCATTCAGTACTTATGAGCAAACTGAAATCTATGTGTTTTCTTGAAGTAATTTGCATCGATCCAACATACAACACTAACAGGGGAAAGTAAGTGAATGTGTTCTGTTTATCGAATGTCATTATTTATAAACTGTTTCATTTAGTTGTTACAGATAACTGTGGGCGCCGAAACCGGCCTGGATAAAGAAAGAAAAGAAGAAACATGTGATATGGATCATGGATCAATTCAAACTAATCATGATGAACACTAGTAGTACAGAGACGTTTGTAATGGATTATGCAAAATCCGTTATATCTGCGGTGGAAATAACTCACCGTACAACCCACATAGTTTTCTGTTAATTTCATGTGTATAGAGCTATGTGTAAGAAGACCTTTCATTCTATATTAAAGCAGTACATATGCTAACTTGTCCGTGAACAGTCAGTGACAAAATTTAATCAGATTCAACGCATAATTAATGTGCGTAGTAGACGTATTAGCATTTACTTAAACAGAAACCGGATCAAACGGAAACGCAATCGGGTTGCATCATTCAATCGTGACATTGTTACTTTATGTCACAATACAAACAACAGTGTTGAAAGTTCGCTTAAACAACCGAAACTCTGGTTATATCATAAAGATACTCTGCGCAAATGTACGTGAAAAACATGCAGAAGGCAAACACAAATAAGCAAAAGAAAGTCATTTGAATCTAGCTTGCATTATAGTCACAAACGTAGGTTTTTTTCGCCGGAAGGTTTAACGCCTCTCTTAGACAGGTTGACTACGTACGCCATGTTCATAAACCTTAGAGACTATAGAAGAAAGGGCATGATGTATATTGAAAACAGCGTGTCATCATTAATGTTCTTTGTGGTTGCTAGTCACTGTCCTAAGTTGGATATAAAAGATGACAATTGCACATGCTGTGTATTCCAAACTTGCCGAATTCCATGCAAATGCATGGCTTTCGCTCATTTACAAGTGCCCAAGTTTACAGGTACGTTATATTCATCTTCATCTAATGAAGTAGTAGTTGATCTGTTTTTGAAGCACTGCTGGCGATGGACTTGGGGTACCGGTGGAGATTTGGGTCAACATTTTCTGGATTTCTTGTCTCCAGACTGTACGAAAAGAAATAGATTGTATCGCTTTTCTCGTACTAGAATTAACACAGTTATGGCACTTTTGAAATCAACGACCGCTGAGGACGCAATAAGAATGGCCATCAGTCTAGTCGATGAAGTGATACGCAATAGGCACCTACTTTAATATATATAAGTTCATCAGTTCATTAATGAAATAGTGGATCAACTACTTTAAACATCGTCCTTATTCCTGAAGTCTGTCTGTCGTGAATTAAACGTTTATTGTGATATTTAACAGCTTACAGATTTCAGCTTTCCTATTCGACTTATTTTTGGATTACGTCCTTGCATTCTCAGTGGTTCGTATATCCTACAGCACTGTCGATTTCGATAACATTCCTCGTAACACTATAGCTATTTTTCATATAGTAAATCCAATTTTCTTTTGAAATTGACATTAAAATTTCACTGAATGGACCTGCTGAGTTGATATCTTTATTCTTCTTTTAGGTAATCGACGAAGATAAATCGTGCCATGTGCATTTACTATATATTACCATTTTACTCCAGTCTTTTAACTTATGCCTCCTACTTTTGAATGATAAAAGCGTTATGTTATATTTAGTAAATACTTACTTGTTTACTACGAAGGCGATGACGGGGTCGTGACATGTTTAACGGGACCATAGTGGTATGTTAACTAAGAAGCCAAGTAAGTGCGTAGACCGGTGTACTAAACCATGTAGAGTGTCTTTATGTTAATAGTATTCCATCAGCGTATTAGAGGCATTGCTCGCGTATCATAGGGCACTCAGGTAAGCAACTATAAGATTAGACGCAGATATGGTAAGGAGATGCATTACTGGTGCCCATCCATCGACTACCGTTACGTGCCATGAGGGCTAAAATAGGTTGTAAGAAGGCTAAAGGCGCAAAGATCTGTTTCCTTTGGTAATGTATACACGGACCCAGGCTCGTAAGTTCTTCATGAAAACAACAAAAGTGTGTACTGTAGTACTTTTAAGTGTCACTTGTTGCATGAGAAGTAGATGCTAAGAGGCTCGTATTTCACGGATTTCTTATGATGACTAACTTGATAAATCAAGATGGCATTAAATATACAAATTTATTCAGGAATAGTTTCATTAATAATGGAATATCAAACATACATATACACCAGGTTTCTATTTACAACTCTCACAGTGATAATGTCATTTTTTAAACTAAAGGATTAAACAAGTAACTTATAGTGGAAGTGGTTGTGAGACTAAAATTAACGTTCAGCCTGCTTTTTAGAAACACTGGAGGTGATGTTAGTACGGCCTCCTGTAAATAGTTCCATAGTCACACATTACGTCGGGAAATAAAAGCAGATATGGAAAGGATGAATAACAACTGGAAGGAGCTGGAAAGGATTGCCCAGGACAGGGTTGGATGGCGAATGCTGGTGAGCGGCCTATATTCCTTCACGAGGAGTAACAGGCGTAAGTAAGTAAGTCACATAATTCTGACGACAAAACAGTTTCCAAGGAGATCTGTGAGGACTCACTCCTGTCCCATTCTAAATACACAAACAATAATGGCTTTAGTCAAAATTATGGAATTATCAATGTGCAATATCTCAACAAGTTTCTATCACCGTTGTCATATCACAAAACAGGAAATCGTACATATGTGTGTGATACAAGTAAATAAACAAATTATATATTTTTAAGCAAAGAAGAATCTACACAACTGTGATTTATTAACATCCTCACGAATGTTAGTTAAAGATTAGGTCAGCTATTACAACATGTGTAAAGCATGGTATGTGCTTAATACTGTATTGTAAAGCTTTTATTTGTTTGCTTACATTTATTTATTCTAACATATTTGTGGCTGGTTTTACGGCAAAATATACAAGAAGATTTGCTGTTTGATAAGATAGCATTGCTAGTAGATAAACATATTTTTAATATTGTTTCACAGTCGCACTTAATTAAGATGTAAAACGCTCCTCTTTTTAAGATTACAGAATCTCATGTTGATCGTTTTCTGATTTCGGCGCTTAAGCTCATTAATGGAAATGAAAAATCAAGCAACTCTAGTTGGTAAACTTATGTGCTTCATCACTTCTTTCAAGCACTATTATTATATTGACTAAACTGAATTATACGACAACCAAGTTTACTAAACTAAAGAGTGGTCGTAGTTATTGTTTCATTTAAACAAACATGTTGCTTAAAATATCTGACCATAGATAATTCAGCCTAAAAACCCCAGAACACAAACTATAGACCAATAAGATTTACCTAACAGACAACAAAGATATTGTTTCGAGACTGAAGACTACAGTCATCAAAACATAGTTTACAGCACAATAACAAGAATCAAACTCAGCCTCAAACATTTCTCTAGTAATATTATTCACTAGTAGTTTACTTCAATAGTATTACGACTTCTATTAAACTTTCTATGACTTGGAACGTCATTCCATCATGTAGTGCACGTATCCAGTATAACTCAGTCTGACAGTGAATAAAAATTACAGCCATAGCAAAATTCACAGCATAATCTGGGTTTTAAAAAAAAATAAAAATTACATCACAATATGACAAATTCATTGACTACACGAATATAAAGAAGACCATTATTCCGACCTTCGACACACTTAGTTCACGTGATAACGTTGAGTATATTTTTACTTATATCACTTACAAAGGACGTGTTAATTGTATATGTAAATCAACAGTGTCACTTATTTTGGGAAATCCTGTAAAATAAATGTATTTATCTTTTAAGTAGTTAATTATTGAACTTAACAATGGACTTACCGGAAGATTCAATATTTACCTTAGAAATCTGACCAATGTTCGTAGAATCAAATATTGTTTTAATGGCTTGTTCAGAAGATCGTAACACTTATTTATGAATTACATATACTTGATATTAATCACCAGTGAAATATAGAAAAAGTTTCTCCTCCTATTCCATTCTTATTAACTGTCTATATTTACTTTCCGATTTTATCGTTTCCAGTAATAGCTATTACCAAAAATCTAATCAAAGTGTAGATACAAATAAAAACCGTTTAAGGAATTAATAGATTCTAAGGGATTAAACAGTTCATAAATAGTTGATCGATTGTTATTCTATGCAGTATACTATCTTGTAAAAACGTTCTATGCAAGTTTTTAAGCATAAATAAACACTATCAGTGCCAATAAATGGTTTTTTAATTTTACCAATAACAGATAACAAAATCTTTCAATTTAGGCTATATATATTGACTATTCAGACGTAAAGGCGAGGATCGGCAAAGCAAGGGTCGCATTCCTACAATTGAAGAACATATGGAACTCAAAACAACTTTCAACCAATATCAAAGTGAGAATCTTCAATACGAACGTCAAGGCAGTTCTACTGTATGGAGCTGAAACTTGGAGAACTACAACAACCACAATCAAGAAAGTATAAGTATTTATAAATAGCTGTCTACGCAAGGTACTCAACATCCATTGGCCGGATACCATCAGCAATAGCCTTCTCTGGGAGAGAACAAACCAACTTCCAACTGAAGAGGAAATTAGGAAAAGACGATGGGAATGGATAGGACATACATTACGCAAATCGTCAAACTGCATCACGAGGCAAGCCCTAACTTGGAATCCTGAAGGGAAGCGGAAAAGAGGAAGGCCAAAGAACACATTGCGTCGGATAATAGAAGCAGATATGAAAAGGATGAATTACAACTGGAAGGAGCTGGAAAGGATTGCCCAGGACAGGTTTGGATGGAGAATGCTGGTGAGTGGCCTATGCTCCTTCACGAGGAGTAACAGGAGTAAGTAAGTAAGTAAGTATATTGACTAATGCTGAACATCTTGTACTGATAATAAGTCTCTTTTAACTTTATAAGATATCTATGTGCAATACATTTGTAAGACTTTAATTATCTATTAAATAACTGAAGATGAAAAACATATAACTATCATAATTATACCTATTCCAAAATCACTGACTAGTGAATTAAATTATTGATAAAGTATTTGATATATCTGGTCGATTGAACGCTGCTTGTTATGTCTGGTCATCGCTGATTGTTATGTCGTAAACGATTATCACTTATAATTGAAACGATGGATCTCTGCAATTACTACCACGAGAAAGTAAGAACACAAAGACTGGTAAGAGTGAAGATTTATTAACCCCCAAAACACGACCACTATCACCCTAATCAAAAATACACTCATCTATGTATTGATTCGTATACCCATTTTTCATTAATAATTAGGATAAAATTACATATATGAAAAATACTTACATTTATAACAAATTACATACTGAGTATAGTTCATGTTAATTTAATACAAGAATAACGTATGTCATACACAGAATTGTTAGGACCCGAGAAACATAATGAATGATCATTTTGAGATCCTTTTATGGACCAATACTAAACGTATATTTTTATTGTATAATTATGTTGTGATGGAAAGAAAAGTCAATTTTCGATTGATTTACTCATTATGAGTTTTATTCAATGTTAAATCCGTTTTGATTCAACGTGATGATCATTCAGTGTAGTATTTGATTTGTTTTCCCAGTATAATATTTTCTTCTGTATAATATACGATATTCTTGTATTCAGTTGACATGAACTATCCTCAGCCTGTGATTTATTATAACTGAGTATGTGATGTAATCCTAATTACTAATCAAAATGGGTGTACAATCAATATATAAATGAGTGTATTTTAGACTATATTCGATTCGTCGTTGTCATAGTGTTTGGAGCTAATAAATCTTTACTTATACCAGTCTTTTTGTTCTTACTTTCGCGTCGTGTGAATTACCGAGGTCCCTCGTTCCACGTATAAGTGATCAGCGTTTTGTTTTTCCAGCACAACAAGAATAAAAGATCACACTGGAAAACAGAAACAAATACTACATTGAGCAATTATCACATTGAATTAAAAAGGAAATAATTTTGAACACAACTGATAATGAGTAGATCAATCGAATTTTAACTTTTCCTATCATATCAGTATTTGAAATTATTCTAGGATTCAATCTATAGACTAGAAAGTTTCAATGAGATTACAATAAACCGTTGAGCATGTCTAAAGAATTAATTTAATGAATTTGTTTATTTTATGGTCAATCAGTGATTTGATATGATTATTTCTTGTGAATTAAATCAAAGTACAAATGGATTACCAACTGAATGATGTAGCTTATTCAATCAAATATATGATTCATAACTAATGAGTTGTTAGTTCAAATTTTATGTAAACCTAATTTTTCTCTTTGATGGAGTTTTGTTCTCTGAGTTGGATGGTTTGGTCATATTCGAACACTTCACTTCTACCTGAAGTTTGTGCTGATGATATCATTCGAAAGAACAATGAAAGCTCCACGACCAAATTATCCAGCTCAGAGAAAAAAACTCCATTAAAATCATTCACTTGAACCACGAATCTTTTCCACCATCTTTAATTTTTTACTGTTAAATAGTACATTTCAAATAATCACTAAAATTCAGAACCAACATTGTAATTGATATAGACTAGATAGAATGTGGCTAGCAGTGGAATCCAGGATATTCTTTGAGTTCTATTTGAGATTAGTTAACTAAATGTACTTGCATACCAGAGTTATTCACTCTGGGACACAAGCCAGTACCATTCGCTTCAAATGCCATCATATTGTCTATTTGGCTACTGAGTTCAGATAGCCACTCACTTGTACAACGGGTATGAAATTTAATTTAATTTGAAATAGTTTGGATTATCCCGTTGTTGATAGTTTTGATGAAACTTGGTCAGTAGGGCAAAACGTATGTCCTATGTCCCACTGCTAGCCACATTCCATCTTGTTTAGTCAACTTGTACCATATGGCTATATCGAGACAGTCCGTGCAAAATGCCTGTATGCCAACCTAGACTGATCAAATTTCATTCAAAAAATATCAACGATGTGATAATCCAAATATTTTCAAGTTGGTTCAGTAATATGATTTTTCTAGCATTGTTTGAATAGTAACCAACGTCAATTACACGTTTCGTTACATGTTCTGGTTATGAGAATGATGACCACGTCCTGAAAATATACAGCTCTGAAATAGAACTGAAATAAATATTAGTATCATGTATAAAATGCTTCCTAAATGGATGTTATGTTTAAATAGCGCTTACACTAGAGGAGTTACTGTCAAATACAAATTTCGACAAAACGTTTGTTCGAAGGAAATAGACAAGTGTACTTATTATAGTCAAGAACTGTTGGAAAGAAAGTAATATATAGTGATGAATAACTTCAAGTTCTTACACATCTCAATCATAAATAATTATTTAACAATATACCAGGACGAAAACCAATGGCCTTAGTTATATAAATAAACTCAATATAATAATGTGTATAATTTAGAGGAGAATAAAAGATGATTCTCTTTGTTATCCAGATCGGTTTTAACTAATTTCAGTCAGAATCTCCAGTCGTAAGATCCTACTCTACTGCAAGTTCTAATTAAATAATCTTTACTATTTCCATAGTCATTTTAATAACACTTAATTACTCCATAAACTGATGCAGTTTCATACCAAATATTACTTAATATCATTTTCCATCCCGTTCTACATAAACTCACATTTTATTTACATAGATAATCCATGATATTAAACACACACAAAAATAACTGATTTATTTCTGAATCGTAATGATTCGGTTTCGATACAATCAATTTTCATTTTTCAATTATTTTTTCGAATCTTCTATTTGATGTTTAGGACCGCAATCGATCAGTCTCTTATTGGCATATATGCATCCTGTGCGGATTACATCGATATCGCCTTAAATCGCAAGCGTTATAAGCAGAGATAGATTGGAGGAAGGTGTATCAAGATGACGAGTCCCAAATAAGACGAAACTCGCATCCTCGATTTCACTGTTAACCACCGTCTATCTACGTTTATAATAACTAATTTCGTTTTAAATATATTTAAATGGAAACTTTGGTAATTTCAATAGTTGAAATCATGAGTCAGTTGAAGGTAGGCCACCATAAAATAATCTGGAAGCATTGGACGGCCGTTACATTCTATTGTGAAACTTCTCAGAAGTGCGCATCCTCGCGGGATTCGAACCCAAGACCTATCAGTCAAGTACTTCCAAGTTTTCCACGGTAGTCTAGCTTCAATTGACTCATGATCTCAACTACTGAAATTACCAAAGTTTCCATTTAAATATATTTAAAACGAAATTAGTTATTATAAACATAGATGGATGGTAGTTAACAGTGGAATCCAGGATGCGAGTTTCGTCCTATCTGGGACTCGTCAACTTGATACCCCTGTCTCTGATCTATTGAAAGTATTACAATCTCCATAAAAACCCCTTCTGAAAACTTTAGTGTTTGTTTAATTATTGTCAAAAATTCTTTATTCTAAATTAACAATCAATCTGAATGACTAAGAATGTATCATATAGTAATTGAAATTAGATCATTTTATTCCAACTATAAAATTAATCTGTTTAACGCCTACATTTATTTACTTTTTTAGATAAATTGATTATTATATTTTTTATCTTATTGTTAAATGGACTTTTATGTTGTTCTTGTTGTTGTTCTCTTTTTTTTCTCTCTCAGAAAATCCTCCATAAGTTTCAAATTACATATAACATTTACAAATGACTGATTGTTTGAATCGTTACCATAATTAAATAAGATAGATTTGTTTTATTCATGTATTTAATAAAAGCTGTAATCTACTAATTCCGTATATTACGTAACACAGTGGTCAAATATTAATGTTAATGATAAATATGAATGGAATTTAAAATACGAACACAGAAGTTGTTATTATTATCATAAGTGAATAAGTTACGTCACATCCTGTTATATTATAAAGGAAATAAATAATGTTTTTAATTCATATAAATATACATAGAGAGTTTGGTATATTTCGATTTTAGCTTAATAATTATTTACTTAGTCTGTTACCCTTCACGGAGGAGCATAGGCCGTCTACTTATTCCGAGCACCATCAAGTTATATCTTCTCATTTCCGTAGCTATTTGATTAGTTCTCCCGATCATTCACATAGTCCTAACATTGTATGTACCTATATTAATTGTTGCTGTGATTGTTAGAAGGGGTATCGATCATATTGACTTCCGATGAATCTCAGGTTTCACCATAAGGCATCATAATTCTTCTAAATGAAGAACCTTCAACTCCCAGTGAAGAGTTTAAATAGTTTGAATTGTTTATTCTGGTCAGCAGTATTTTTCTCGCAAGTTTGCTTGATACGAGATCGGGTTACTGACCTCATACCCAACCATCTTTCTTGACCCGGGCTTTGGACAGGAAGTAACCATAGAAGAGCTATATGTGAAGTTAGTTTAATCATACTGTTATATAATTGTACAATATACGACATACAGCAGTGCGCATCCATGATCCCGCCTCACGAGATTCGAAGCCAGTACCTATTAGTCTCGCGCGCGGGCGCTTAACCACTAAACCACTGAGGAGTCCCACAATACGGCAAAACGGCCATTCACTTCTTCCAGGTTTTCCATAGTGATCTAGCTTCAATCGACTCATGATCTCAACCATTGAAATTGTTATATATTTAGTAATCAAATAAAAATAATGAAAATTTATTGTTAATTAAACAATAGATAATCATTGACTAAATATTAAGAATAAGAATATCCTATCAATAAACATAGAGATTATTATAATTTTTTCTTCAAATGAATAATAACATTACTTGGTACATTCAGAAAACCTATTATGTATTCGATTAAAGAAAAGAAACGAAAAGAAAAACGAAATATCTATCAAGACTACCTTTACAAATGGTATGAAATAGTTTTATACCCTAGAAAAGGATAAAAGATAAAGAGAGAGAAAAGAGAATTAAGGCAAGTAAGTTAGTAAGTAAGTAACTATCTAATGTGTGAATGAAAATTTTTGTCTAAAGGTCATTGTTAAATTTATAATTCAGTAGAGATAATGGAGTTTTTGTTTTTAACATAGATTATTTAACTTTCATTTTTGACTAGTATAATCATCAACTCTTCATGTTCACATAAAATACAACTTCAAATACTGTACCAAATACATGCACGCACACACGTACACACACTTCTGAACACACACACACACACACACAAATTTATAACTTATTGAAATTCAGTTTGGTTTCCATGTAATTTTATGAAAAAGATCAAGGATTAAGGTTTAGTACTTTTCAGTAATAACACTGAATGAGATACAGTAATTATCAATTTAGTTTTATGTTGCATAATACAGAAAATAGTTAATTGTTTGTTTTTTTCATAAGAAAATGATTCAATATTACATTTCTGTTCATGTACTTAGAAACTACAATAGAAAAGTTTAGGAAGAATACATAACTACTTCAATTGATCTCATTTAGTAAAATATCAAAATGGCAATCAACCTACTTACTTAATTATTATTATTATTATTATCTAAATGTATACAGTGAAAACACAATGATTAGAAGAGAGAGAGGAAAAAAATAAACAAATAACGAAGAAGAAGCCACACACACACACACATACACATAAAAAAGAGGAAAATACGAAAGCTTAATAATTTAAATGTCAGATTATTAGTTTTTCTTTTTCAGAAAGAAAACGACAAGCTCTTCAAATGACTTCATATTGTGAAAGAAAAAAATATATTCTAAAATTTTGTTATTATTGATGGTAAATTATCGATTTTGTAGTTGAATTTATGAGTCAATGGAAGCCAAACCATCATGAAAAACCTGGAAGCACTGGACGGTCGTTTCGTTTTAGTATGGGACTCATCAGGAGTGCGCACCCACGATCCTGTACAAAAAGGACTTGGATCCAGGATTTTTAGTCTTGCGCGAGAACGCTTAATCTCTAAACCACTGAGCCGGCATCCAATGGTGTTCATGTCTAACATCAATTAATCCACGAAATTGTACAACCGTCCACCATTGTCTTCAGTGAGTTTCTATCTTACAAAAGATTCACAACATGACACATTCAAATATAAACTTACTAACATTTCCACAAAACCCCTTCTGATAATAATCATCGTATGCTCACTAGTGACTGACTTCAAAAGGCATTTCCTGGAGTTCTATTGACGTGACCAGTAGAGTTCAGCCAGGTATGTTGTGAGATAGTAACTCACTGAAGGTAATGGTGGACAGTGATTCAATTTCGTGGATTGGTTGGAGTTAAACATTGACACCGTTAGATGGCAGGTCAGTGGTCTAGGGATTAAGCGTTTGCTCGCAAGGCCGGTAGGACCTGATTTCGAATCCCGCGGGACGGGATCGTGGATGCGCACTGCTGAGCAGTTTCATACTGGAACGAAACGACCGTCCAGTGTTTTCAGGTTTTCCATGGTAGTCTGGCTTCAACTGACTCATGAATTCAACTATAAAATTACTAAAATCTCCATAAAACCCCTTCTTATAGTAAATTATTGAATAATCAAATATTAGGTTTAAAAGTTAAGTGTTTAGTTTGAGTTTAAACAATTCACATGAACAACTTTATTTCTGTTGATCATAACATGAGTCAATTTGAAAGAAAAAAATGGTTTATAAGCCATAATACAAAATCATTTGAGTAATCTTTATGAATTATGATACACTTTTTATAAAGATTTGTAATTTCATGTCGTTAATATTACAAACTAGAAATTGATTCGTCAGCAATGGAATATGCAGGTTATGAAAAAACACCTTCATTGTAATACTTTGGTTAAAAGTTGTGAGTATATCTGGATTGTGTCTTGTAGTGAAATAAAAGAGTCTGATTTCATCTCACATAGAACTCGTCAGTTAGATGCTCGTGTATTCTCATATTGATGATCACAGTGAGATTTGAACCCAATACTTACTGCTTTAAACTTCCTCGGCTTAAAAACTAATCAGTTGAGTCTGTATATTCTCTAATGGTTATAAATTTTTGCTATCTCCCTGGTGTTGACGTCCAGGAATGTAACTGATCAGTTTCTTCTGTTGTTTATGAGTCCTGAGGTGATATATATATGTAACTCCGCCTGTAACTCTTCTAGGGTTACTGCCGGTCCCAAGCCCGAGTAAAGGATGAGGGTTGGACGTAGGGTCGGCAATCCCATACTATAGAAAACAACCTTGCTAAGAAGACGCTAACTAGAAGGTGGGCAGCCTATGCTCCTTCACAAGGAGTAACAGGCGTAAGTAAAGTGATTTGACATAGAATATTGTACAAATTGGGAACGCTTCATTAAAACTAGACTAGTATATAAATTGTCGATAACTTTAGAATTAGGAGTACAATTTCATGAGGGTTATTGAAATTGACATACAAGAATTTACAATATTCAAGTGTTCTTAAATGGGTTTTTATAGACAATTTGGATAACTTAACAGTAATTCCTACCACTAACTGGTATCATCTTACCCAACCTTGATTATGATTCTTTAAAACATTCAAAATCATATACTGTATGTGTTGTTTATCAAAATTTGCTGAGGGGTATTAGGTTAAGATAAAGAAACTTTCTTAGTTCTTATTACTTTACAATGTTTCTCTGGATGACATCAGATGGTGTCAAAACTCTTTAAAATATCAACATTCATTGTGATATGATTAATCAGAAATCACTATTTGTTATGATCTATTGATATAAAGTATCTTAAATCCAATAATTTTCCATCTTATTTAACTGTAGTTGATAAATGATTCATCAATAACATAAATAGAACAAATTAATTATACTAGAACAACATATGAAATAAAATGTAGAACGATTATATTTGTTACAGATGATGTGCAAAGTTCATATTATCTAAATAGATAAATGATACAGGGACATTATCAAATAATAACCGGTAGGTCCTGGGTTCGAATCCCGCGAGGAGGGGTCGTGGATGCACACTGCTGAGAAGTCCCACAATAGGACGAAACGGCCGTCCAGTGCTTCCAGGGTTTCCATGGTGATTTAGCTTCAATTGACTCATGATCTCAACTGTTGAAATTACTACAATCTCCACAAAACCCCTTCTGATAATAATTATTATCTTTAATCTATAAACTTTATTGCTTGAATGGAAATTTTTATCAGTATTTAAAAAGAATTAACAATTCTATAAATATACTACTGAATAAGAAAAAGAGAATTCAGCGAAGAAAATTTTCTTTTCGACGAAATCATTTACTTAAGCTGTGCATTCGTATATATAGTTATATGGAAAATGTATGTCTATAGAAGGATAGAAAAGATTTCATCGAAAAGAAAATTTTCTTCACTGAATTCTCTTTTTCTTATTCAGTGACACTGTTGGTTATTTTAAATATACTACTGTAAATCATGAAAGTAATTCGATAACTCTGTTACCATTTAAAACAATGTCATATCAGTTATAAGTATTCGTTTGATTTACCTGAATTCAGTTAGTTTATAGCATCTAAATCCAATAATACAGTCCATATGTATCAATATACTGAGTAGTTGATCTCTGTCAGTTTTAATCAGGTAAATTATATTAATTCTAAATATGTATGTGATATAAAGGGAAGAAAAGTTAAAATTTGATCGGCTTGCTCATTATAAGCTTTGTTCGACATTAGTTCCGTCTTAATTCAATGTGATGGTTACTCAATGTAGTATTTGTTTCCCCTTTCCATTGTGATCTTTTATTCTGTGTATAACATACGTTATTCTTGTATTAAATTAACATAAACTATACTCAGTATGTAGTTTGTTATAAATGTAAGTATTTTTCATATATGTGATTTCATCCTAATTATTAATGAGAAATGGGTATACGAATCAATACATAGATGAGTGTATTTTTGATTAGGGTGATCGTGGTCGTGTTTTGGGGGTTAATAAATCTTCACTCTTACCAGTCTTTGTGTTCTTACTTTCTCGTGGTAGTAATTGCAGAGATCCATCGTTTCAATTATAAGTGATAATCGTTTACGACATAACAATCAGCGATGACCAGATGTAACAAGTAGCATTGAAAGAGCCAAGACAATCAGCATTCAGTTGACAAGTTATAACAGTATGACTTAAAAGTTATTTGATCACCATTGTTAGTAAGGTTTGAATTATCCTGTTGTTAACATCAAGGGTTGAATTTTTTGTTTGACCATGATGATATATGCGCATTCTATGTGGAATACATCAATATAAACCATATTGTCACAAATTTTATTGAATAGATTGATTATGGCTAGCAGTGGGATCTAAGTGACACGTTTCGTCCATCTGTTCTATAAAAACCCATCAAGATATGGGTATATCAGGGAAATCACATACGGAATGCACATATACCTACGATTACCCATCAAAATCTCACTTTTCAGTACTAACAAAGCAATATTTCGAACCTTACTAATAATAGTATACACATTAGGATTTAGATACTCTTACAATTTGTCGTTCAAAGAACAGGTATTGGAACAGACCTCCAAGTCTCAACGTCTTATAGGTTACATAACTCGAGACCTTTATGACAATGAATCACTTACCTTGATGCACAAAGTTTGTGTTCGACCACTCCTAGAATGCTGTACGTCTATTCTTAGTAGTGTATGCATAAAGGATAAATTAGGGTTGCAGTCAGTACAGAGACGATTCGGACTTCGAGTTCTTGGAACTGATTGTACCCTGAGTTATAATCCCAGATGTAATAAACTTGGGCTCGTCTCTTTATGGAAGAGGAGACTCAAACTAGATCTTATCTTTTTCTTCAAAATACTTGATAAACTATCATTTACATCCAGTCAAGTAATTCAATATGCAGAAACTTCTAATCATGACATTCGTAACTCCTTGTCACCAGTGAAACAAACCCATTCTAAATCATCTCTCTGTATTAATTACTTTACCTGTAAATTTTCCAGACTCTGGAATAATCTATCACAATCTATTTGTAAGATAAAAGCATTCTCATCCTTTGTTCGCTGCATTGATGCATACTGCTCCATTGAATATGTATTAAATGTTCTAGCACTTGTAATTTTATCTTATTCCACAAGTGAGATTATAGGAACTTGAAATTTTTAGCCATAATTGATGCTAAATTCACTAGATAAAACCACCTACCTGCTGTTACTTTACGTCAACACCGTCCCTGGCAACTCAAACTAATTTGACTAATATCCAACATGAATAGTATATCACTGAGTCACATGACACATGCATTATTGGTAGACCTGACTGATATTTTTAATTTTAATTTAATTATATAATTAATTATATATTGAATATAAATATTGCTTTGTTGTTCCGTGCTATCTGTTTCCATTTTACTTTCTCTAGTTGTAGATGATTATAATTAATGGCACAGGAAATGACCTTAAATGCACCATTCATAAATCAACAGGATGTCCACTTAGGAAGAATTAAAAGTTCCTGGCCGTTGCACTGCTGTAATACATGTCATACTACTTAAACTGTTCCCGTGTTACCTACCGTTAAAAAATAGTTTTGACTAGTTAACTACTTATTCCTTAGTAAGTAGCCACTTTCTTAGCTATTCATATCGTGACATGTGTAATGAAATGAACACTAGTCACCAGTAAGAAATCCTCCATCCCAGTGACATTGAACTGTAATTTGACCTCATGAAATTTCTAGATATTTGTCCAATATCATCGCATGAAATCACTTCCATATATGTTGATTTCATAAGGAATACTAATACTAATCAATCAAGCAAGTGAATAAATGTTCAGAGGATATATGTTAACAATTACTGTGGTGTAAATAACACTTATCTTTACCTTATAGCTTACTTTACAATGGATATTACTATGAGTGTGACCTTAGTTATCAAATCTTTCTATCTAAGGGTAGAAAATGTTATTCATGAAATTTTGCACCAAGAAAGTGCAGTGTCATTTTTTTCGAGTGTGTGCTACTTTTTCTGACTTTGACGGAAAAATTTGTCGCAACAAGATGATGAAAATAACCCCCAAACAACCGTAGATGAATCCAATAATAAAATAACTATCTTTAACTTTTGGCGAAAACAGTAACTCGCGGAAATAGCAAATGCATGTTATCGAAAATGTCAGTGGTGGTTATATCAACCATGGTTCGCCACCTTTTCACACAATCAAGAAAAACATGAATTCGTTATACATGTAAAATAAAAAAATAAAATTTGATTACTTGTAAGTAGTTCAGCTTTAATTACTAAATAATGTTTGTTAGTAGATAAAACAATGTACTATATGCGTTTCTATATGATCTAAACCTGTCTCATTAGTGTTATTCTAAAAACGTTATTTCTTGTCTATATTTCTGAATGAATACTCTACCGATGATGTTCATCATTAGTTTTCAGTATTCTACAATTACTACTAATGTTATTACGGTGTGACTTAAAGATGGACCTAAAGATCCTCAATTAAATGCTCAAAAAATAAAAACTTTCAAGATGATCAATTTGTTTTTAGATAGAACATTATTATTAAATTTTGATATTGGAATCACTTAGACAGTGAATACTATTAGACATCAGTTATAATTCTTCGTTGAAAAACTTCTGATGGATAACATATGGATCTCTGAAAAACGTAAAAATGTTACGAAATTAATTCACTCTAAAATGGAATTTGAAATTCAGCTTTTTGGGAAATTAATGACTGATTTTGTTTGAAGTTCAATTAATGCATGACAAAAAACGGAATTCGTAGGTATCTATTACAATAAACTTGAAAACGTTTATTGGAAGAGAACAGTACATTGTGTTTGGAGGAAAGTGTTCAGAGTCTCTACTGTCTCATGAAGGTGTACCACAAGGAGCTGTTCTTTTACCTCTTCTCTTCTCTTTTTTCTGCATGATCTGCCATCTTCCACAGAAAACACTCTTGTGAAATATGCGGACGATCTCACTGTATGTATGCCTATCTCTTCCTCTTTACATCCCATAGAAATGAATGAGTTTTGTCTCGTATTGATTGTTGGTCTGTTGGTAATGGTATCATACTTAATCCGTCTAAATGTCAAGCTGTTAACTTTAGCATGAGACATGAACGGAATCTAAACACCATTTTGAGATCCCATAATGCTTGTACCATTGGAGACTCTTTGGTAAACACAGTGTCGAAGGTCAATTATCTTGGTGTCACCTTTTCCTCTGATCTGTCTTGGTCTTCCCACGTTTTATTGTTATCGAAGAAGGCTTTCTGTCTGACTTACTACATAAAGAGATTGCATGCTCTCGGGATTACTCGTCACTTACTCTTACAATTTGTCAATTCTTGCATATTACCTATTATTCTTTACTGTTCTTCATTATTCTTTCCCGGGCTTTTGAGGAAAGACTTTGCTGTATTGCGGAGAGTGCTGAAGGCAGTTAGCAAGATGTGTGGTGAATCTTTCGAGGTCATAATTACTATGGTTGTGGATAGACATCTAAAGTCATTCAAATTCCTGATAGGTGTTATTTTATCAGATACTAACCATCCGTTTCATTCTTATCTTTCTCGTTGTATATCTTCTGGTAGAACGAGACGTAATTACATTAAAATCCATGCACGCAAGCGAAAGTATAAAAGTTGTATAATACCTTACCTAGCAAATATACTCTGTTACGAACAGGTTGTTAGAGTTAACCTAGTCAATAACCTGCATTCTAAACATGTCTCTTATTTGAAAAGTTGTACAGTTTTTCGGGTTTTTTTTATAAAAAAACCTTTATTTATTTTTTTGTATTCGTTACTATATTTTTTTGTTGTTGCGTAAGTAACTTGTTGAAATACCCTGTGCTGAGAATTCTATGTTGTACCAAAACTATAATATTGAATAAAGCCAATAATAATAATAATAATAATAATAATAATAATAATAATATTAATAATAATTGTAAGCGATTAGAATGAATTGAGAATGATGAAATTCTTGTCTTGTAACAAAATGATTCAAATTAATCTTTGTATTTCATTACATATCAAAGAAATGATAAAGTGTTACCATTTTGTAATTTTTGGTTAGGAATAAATATAAAGCAAAAGGAATGTCTCGGAACTTTTCTTTCAGAAGTTATCATTAAATACTTAAACTACTATTGCGGTGTTTACTACTTATACGGACTAATATAGGTAGTATGTATGAGGAATTGAAGTGAAATTCTAATGGACAGCAGGGGAAAATAGAAAGAAGATAAAGGAAGACAGAAAATAATCGAAATAATAACAGGAAGAATGAGTTATGGGGTTTGTGAGCGACAACTCAAGGAAGATAGGCAAACCGTGTGGTTTACGAATAGTGTGTGTGATAAGTCGTGTAGGTTGAACGCTATATACGGTTCCTAAGCTATTTCGATAACCCGCAGTCTAGAACTACACAGCGACTTGAACTCCAGAGAGAAGACACAAGAATGAGAGAAAGCACTTTATTCCAAGGTTCATTTTTGTACAGAAAATCATGGGTATTTATAGATTTTGGGATCTGTTAAATCAACATCATTTTACAGCCAATCCGATAACAACACATTATGCTACCGACCAATAGTAGCACGCCACGTTGGAATTCTAGAACGTTCCATCACACTCTGATTGGCCAGGACTCTTCGGCTCCTTGTGGGCCTCTGGAGGCTCCGTTGAAGTTCTCCGGAAGCCGACCCAACACCTCCCCCGAATAAGATTTCTTTCTGGGATCCACTTGTAGTTTGATAACTGGATTGCGTCGGCGTCCCATTATTCTTGTCGTCTTTCTTGTCCAAGACTTTTCAGTGTTCCTGGGCGTTTGTGGCATTGGTGCGTCTAAGATTAAATCTAACGGGAAAGTCGGCCGGTTACTTCCAGTCTGCACCGTTCTTTTGTCCTTAAGGATTTGGTTTGTGTGACGTATACATGTCCCAAAGGCTCCTCGAACTTTGTACAGTACTCTTCCCAGTTTTTGCACCACTTCGCCCGGCTCCCATCGGTTCTTCCCGATGTAGGATTTAATGTAGACTTTGTCGCCAATACTGAAGTTCCGGATACTTGGGTCGCGACTACGCTCATCCACTAGTTTGGATGGCAACATGGCATCAAAGACTGTTCGAATACGCCTTCCAAACATAGCTTCCGCGGGAGATTTGCCGTCTTGAACATTTGGGTTTGGGGTGGATCTGTATGATGTTAGAAATTTTGTGATCACTTGCTCAGTCGTCCCTTCTCCTCCCCCTTTCAGTAATGCTCATTTAAAAGTGTCCACAAAGCGCTCTGCTTGTCCGTTTGATTGTGGATGATAGGGTGGAGAACGAAGATGATTTATTCCGTTTGTTCTACAGAAATGTTTAAACGATTCTGCGGCAAACTGAGAGCCGTTATCCGTCACTAAGGTCTCTGGTACTCCGAAACTGCTAAATAGGGTAGACAACTTGCGGATCGTTTCTGACGTTGTACAATTTGGCATGATGTATACTTCCGGCCATTTAGTGAATGCATCTACGATAATTAGAAACATTTTCCCTTGGATTGGACCGGCAAAATCTGCGTGAAGTCTTACCCAGGGTCCCGCGGGCATAGGCCAACACTGAGGTTCGCATTTCGAAGGATTTTTAGCGGCTTGAATACATGATGAACAGTTACGGCATTTATTTTCGATGTCTTTGTCCATTGACGGCCAATAAGCATAGCTACGAGCCAAAGATTTCATTTTACTGATTCCAGGATGGCCACTGTGAAACTGCTTGAGAACCTTGTGACGTAATAACTTCGGAATAACAATGCGATCACCGAACATAATACAGGAGTCAACAACCATTAGAGAGTCCCGTCGACGGAAATATTGCAAAAGTTCTCCGTCAAGGCGATTGTTTGGCCATTTGGTCAAGAGATAGCATTTAACTGAGCTCAGTATCTTATCACTTTCAGTTATCTTCTTGATAGTTTCAAAGGTTACTGGGAGTCCATTAACTGCGTCATCCAACACGCGATGAACTTCTTCCTCGGCTTTTATATTTGCTACAAGAGTCTCCTCCGGGGTTTTCGATTGAGAGCCTATTAATCTCGACAATGCGTCAGCTTGCCCGAAAGTGGTAGTAGACTGATACTTAATCTTGAAGTCGTAACCCAGAAGTGTGGTTGCCCATCGTTGTAGTCTGTTAGCTGTATGAACAGGAATTCCTTTCTTTGACCCAAAAACTGCAAGTAGTGGTTTGTGGTCTGTTATTAGGGTAAAATGTCGACCATATATCATCTTGTGGAACTTTTTCACTGCAAAGATAATTGATAGGGCTTCTTTCTCGATTTGGCTATAGTTCCTTTCGGTCGTTGTCAGAGATCTGGCAGCGTGTGAGATAGCTTTTTCAGACCCATCAGGAAAAATGTGAGAGATAACTGCGCCCACACCATAGTTAGAAGCATCTGAAGCGACGACTATCGGTAGAGAAGGATCATAATGTGTCAATAAGAGATCGGAAGTTAGGAGTTGCTTGATTTTCTCAAAAGATGCTTGGCAGTCTGCAGACCAATTCCATCTTGTGTTCTTTTGTAGTAGGTTGTTTAGTGGAGCACGTAGACGATGGAGATCGGGGAGAAAGGTACCGTAATGACTGACCAATCCCAAGAATGATCGTAGGGTAGTAACGTCCCTGGGTCTAGGCATTGTGTTCACTGCTTCAATGTTCTCTGGATCTGGACGTCTTCCGTCTTTATCTATTATGAACCCAAGGTACCGTACTTGCTGCATATAGAAGTCACACTTTTCCGCCCGGAGGCGAAAACCATAATCAGCTATGCGTTCTAATACCTGGTCCAGTTTCTTCTGCAGATCCATTTTATCTACTGCCGTAATTATGATGTCGTCTAGGTAAGCTGCAGCTCCTGGAATACCTTGTAACATGGTATCCATAATTTGCTGGAAAATAGAGGGCGCTGTCTTTACCCCAAAAGGTAGTCGGTTATACCGGAACAGACCTTTGTGCGTGTTGATCGTTAAGAGATCTTTGCTTTCATCAGATACAGGAATTTGTAGGTATGCGTCTGATAAGTCCAATTTTGCAAAATATCTGCCACCGTTCAGCTTAGCGAAAAGATCTTCTGGTAAGGGTAACGGATACTGGTGAGACTGTAGCGCCTCATTTAATCCCGTGGAGTAGTCTGCACATAAACGAACACTTCCATTCGACTTCTTGACCACCACTATTGGTGCAGCCCAATTCGAGAAGTTCACAGGCTCGATAACACCCATTTGTTGAAGTCGTTGTAATTCTTGTTCAACTATTGGAAGAGCAGCATAGGGTACAGGTCTTTTAGGTCGAAAAACGGGAGCAGCTTCAGGTTTTAGAGTTAACAGTGCTTTGACTTTCGTACATTCTCCCAATCCTTCTCTAAACACGCTTTGATGTCTTTGTAGCATGGCGTTTTTCTGATTCCATTCTGGGGTGTTGTCTGTACTTACTCGTCTGCAGATACTGTTGATAGAATGATCTGCTAGTTTAAGTGTTTCTATAAGGTCCAACCCCATTAAGTCTAGTGCTGGCTTCTTAGTAAGATACAATGTTGCATTTGTTGTTACCGTACCTTTAGAAACAGTGCATGGTATTTCTCCAACAATATTCAGCTTCCCCCCAGATGCACTGTGTGCCAGCTGTGTTGTTGGGAAAACTGTGGGTCTCCCAATGTTCTTCCACGTTTCTGGGCTGATTAAAGTAATATCAGAAGCTGTGTCCAGCTGAAGACGGGCACGGTGTTTATTAATATTCAAGGTCACATACTTTCTTTGGTGGCAACTTCGTGCTCTGTTATGTGATACCAATATCTTGTTGGTTGGAGCACTATATCTGTGTTTCTTTGAGTAAGACTTCACGGAACGTTTTCTATAGTCTCTTCTCCTGCAGAAGTTTTCTTTATGCCCCTTCCGATGACATTTGCTGCAACGATGTTCTTTATATGGGCAAAAACTCTTATAGTGCCAACCTCCACATGCCCAGCATGGAGATGGTGGTTTGTCGCTGTTATTTTGGAAATTATGGGTACTGGAACCTTGAAAGACTTTTCTCTTAACTGCATTGACGTTACGGAAAGAGTTACCGTTTTCTATCATTGAGGTATCATGCTTTAAGTTTACTAACCTTTGGCACTCAGTAGTCACTTCTTGCAGGGTCATATTAGGGCAGTGTTCGAGTTTGCTTAGGAGTCTGGTTCGGATATCAGCATCTTCAGGTGAACGCAGGCTGCAGATAAACACTAAGCATTTAAACTGATCTTCAGACATGGACGCCAATCTAAACCTCTCACATTCTCGGTTCACCGTTCCTGCATGCTTTACCCAATCATCTCCTGGTTCTTTTGTTAACTTTAAGCATTGGTAACGGATATTAAATAGAGATGATTGTTCTCCGAATATTTGGGATAGGGTTTTGACTGTATCATCAAAACTAAAATCTCGTGGGTTCTTCGGAAGAATGAAGTTGCTATAGCGTTCATGTTCCATAGTGCCAAGTTTTCTAAGAAGTATTCTGACTTTTGAAGCATCATCCAGTTTGCAAAGATCAATATAAAACAAATCTTCATACTTCTTAAACCACGACTCGAAAGTTACACCTGCTACACCATCAAAATTAAAGTCATGGATGGCGTTAATGACTGAATCAGTATGTGATACTTGAGATTCACTAGAAGCAGGGTTTTTCTCGGACAGGCAGAATTTCTGCATCAGGGTTTCCATGATTCTAATTTGGGACTCTTCAAACCTCTTCTCTTGACGCACCATATAAGCTTCTAATTGCTTCAAGGAAATATTCATTGAAGTTTTCATCTCCGTCGCCACTGATAAGTCGTGTAGGTTGAACGCTATATACGGTTCCTAAGCTATTTCGATAACCCGCAGTCTAGAACTACACAGCGACTTGAACTCCAGAGAGAAGACACAAGAATGAGAGAAAGCACTTTATTCCAAGGTTCATTTTTGTACAGAAAATCATGGGTATTTATAGATTTTGGGATCTGTTAAATCAACATCATTTTACAGCCAATCCGATAACAACACATTATGCTACCGACCAATAGTAGCACGCCACGTTGGAATTCTAGAACGTTCCATCACACTCTGATTGGCCAGGACTCTTCGGCTCCTTGTGGGCCTCTGGAGGCTCCGTTGAAGTTCTCCGGAAGCCGACCCAACAGTGTGGTTTTACATAGTACAATAAATTGGTCTACTTTACTTGTGTCCATGTTTATTACTCTATATTTTTGTATTCCGCTTACTTGTAAGCCTTTGTTGGTTACAGGAATTATTGTTGTGTGTTTTACCTTTCCCAAATTATTGCTAATTTATTACGGACCTGTCACTCAATCATCTTCCACTTTGGGGCATATACTGGGGCCCATATTATAAATTTTTAATCCTATTGATGGGTGGTTAGAATTTCGCTCTATATAATTGTATAACGGATTCATAAATTCCAACTGTACAATTAGAAGTCGTTTGCCTACTGAATTGTTCGCTATTCTGTTTATCCAGCAAGAGAGTGTTATTCTCCACTGTTTTCTCATATTTAATATGTGATTGGTCAGCCAGACATTGGTACCAGATAGTCTAGGCGAGTTAATCAATACTCTCATTAGATCACTGAGACTTTTCCCCACCTATCTTATGGTCCAATATCATGGGCTCTAAATAACTAAACGAGAAAATCTCTTTACTTTCACCGACACGGTAGGATACTAAGAATCTTTTATTTACATTGATCATGTAATCATCATTTCATTAACATTTATTCTTACATTAACATAAAAGCCAGTTAATAATGACTATTATTCTATTTGAAAGGTTAATGATTAAAAGTCCATAAACAAGAATATCAACCTTTTTTTCTTGGACACTTATAAATCTTCATCATTTTATAAATTGCAAACAGCCATCAGGTACTTTAGTGTTTAACAGATTGATAGATGAACGAAGAATATTCTTTTCGATAAATTCTCTTGAAGTTCTACAATTATATATCCAAATAAAAATCCGAAAAATGTCCAGGTTTGTGGTATATATGGAGGATCCACCTTTGGGAGTTGGAATACCCTGATTCCAAACCAATGGTGTACATGGGCTTCAGGATCCTAAGAAAACAAATGGCGTTTGAACCTATTGTTACCTATGGTTACCGGCTACCATGGAATTGCATCTCCTTATGTTGCTCCATTGCCTTGTGGTTCAGACCTTTGGGTCAAAGACTCCGGGTGTAGTCTTCTAAGAAAACCACTTGCTTCGGTTTGGGCACTCGAGCAGTATCCCAGTCCTCATATAAATCAAACGATTTATGTGGTGCATATCTCTTTGGTACCTCCTTGTATCAATGTTTATGTGTTTAAATAAATAAATAAATTACGGCAAATTATATCGTTTAAAGTTAAAGCATGTGAATTTAGGATTGTTAAATAAAATATAATAAAATTGTTAATGTTGATATGATTCATATAGAATGTTAACTTGAATCTGCATATATGTGAAGTGAGATTTTAAGATCTATGATCCGAATAACTATGGGTCAAATAGGATGAGAGAAATAATAGTGCAATCAAATGTTTAGTGAAAGACTATATTGTGTGAAAAATTATTAGTAAGACGTGATAAGGTGGGATGAATGAGCAGTAAATGAATCATGTATTGGGAAGATTAATAATGATGTTTAACCAATGGTAATAATAATAATGATAGTATTTGTTACACATGTTTGTTTCTATAGTATTGTTTCAAAATTTGCTTCTCTTTTTTTGCTGTGTTTACGTTTAGTTGTCAAATGTTGACAAAATAAATTTGATCTAATCACTAATCCTTAATATTTTTGACATCTTTCCTCAAGTTATATGCATTAGTGATTATAGAAAATAATAGTTATATCGGACTATATATATAAGTGGTTAGATCTCTGTTTATTTATCAGAAATATGGTCAACACATCTGTTCAGAATTATAATCAAAGTTAGGTCAGATATGTCTATCAATTTTCATTAGTTTATCTTTATTTTACAATTTTCCGCTTTTAAGATTTATGAATACCAATATCAGTATCTTAAACATATTACTGCTTCAACAGATTATTATCAAAGATCATTTTCACAAGTGAACCCCGTATTTGAAAAAAAAATATTTTTTTAATGTTTTAGTTGCTACGGTAAATATCCATGGGAATCTATATCATATTTATCCATGTGTTTCTAAAAACCTAACAACAATAACGATGACAATCAATTTATATTAATATAACGACAACTGGATGAAGTTTGCGTGTTTGTTTTTTTTTGAAAAAAAGTTTATTATTATCCAGTGAATAACTTTTTAACCACACGAGACAGAATCTGGAAAAAAATGGATAGAATTATCATTGAAGTAGAAAGAAAAGAAGATGATCATGATCATGATCATGATGAAAAAGAAGAACATAGTTAGTCTATTTTGTTTCAAATTATGACCTTTCATCAAACTCATATCATGATTATTGTCAAATAGAGAATTCTTTGTGTTTTTTTCTACAGCCTGCTCAATTTATTGCATTGAAGTAAAGTTTAATTTGATGCTAAGTTATAGAAGATTTAAACAACAATGTTAAAAGAAAACAGTTAAAGATGTCAGAAGGGGTTTGCGGAGATTTTAGAAATTTCACAGGTTGAAATCATGAGTCAACTGAAGCTAGACCATTGGAAGCACTGGATGGCTGTCTCGTCCAAGTATGGGACTCATTAGCAGTGCGCATCCACGATCCCACACCCCGTGAGATTCGAACCCAGGACCTGCCAGGTTTTCCATGGTGGTCTAGCTTCAATTGACTCATGATTTCAATCTGTGGAATTTCTAAAATCTCCACAAACCCTTTCTGATAATAATCATCTGCTCACTAGTGACTGACTTCAAGAGATACTACTAGAGTTCTAGTGAGAAGCCATTACCAGTGGAGTTCAACCAGGTCTGTTGTGAGATATCAGCTCAACGAAGATAATGGTATATGGTGGCGCAACTTCGTGGATTGGTTGAAGTTAGACATTAACACCGTTGGATGCTGGCTCAGTGGTCTAGTTGGTTGAGCGCCTGGTGCGAGACTGATAGGTCCTGGGTTCGAATCTCGCCGGGGGCGGAGTCGTGGATGCGTGCTGCTGCTAAGTCCCACACTAGTACGAAACGGCCGTCCAGTGCTTCTAGGTTTTCCATAATGGTCCAGCTTTAATTGACTCATGATTTCAATCTGTGAAGTTAAAGATGTCCTTTAAATTTATCAGTAAACTATTAAACAACATAAAAATTCATTTTGTATATAAAAATGATCATTTACACTATCATCGCTTGTTTTAATACTTTTGTTTATGACCAACATTGTTAAATGTTCTTATATTACAAGACGGAAGTTTCAAAAAGCAAGAGAGAGAGAGGTAGGAGAAAATTTGTAATGAATAGAAATGATTATAGTCTGTATAAATTAACTATTCAGACTTCGGTATAAACTGATTACATGAAATGTTAGTTGATATATTAAACTAAATGAAAAATGAAACTATTTTTCAGTATGGAGTTTTGGATGACCAATTCTGAAAAGTTTCACATTAAGGTAAAACTGGTGTCCAGTGCTTCCATGTTTTCAATGGTGGTTTTGCATTGATCGGTTCAGGATTTGAATGAAAATAAACTACAACTACAATCCCATACTGAAAATTATTATGAGTTCACTATTGACTAGCTTTGAGGGAAATTTCTGGAGTTCTAGTCAGAATCTGTGATCAGTCGAACTAATCCGAATCGAGTACAAGGTAGTTATCCATCAAAGAAAATGGAAAGCGATTGTGCAATATTGTGGATTGATTAAGGTTAAGCGTTAACATCATTGGATGCCAGCTCAATGGTCTGGTGATTAAGCGTCTGTGCACTTGACCAAAGGCCCTGGGTTCGATTCCCGTTTACACTGTCGTAGATGTGCATTGCCAAGGAGTCTTGCACTAGGAAGAAACTACCACCCAGTGATTTTTAGGTTTTCAGTGGTGGTCTTACTTAGATTGATTCATGGTTTAAATGTAAACTATTTTTTGCTAGTCTATACAACTCAATCAAAGTTTTGAACAATATCAAAACAGTAGTTTAATGCTACTTAGGATTCAACTATTATCTGGCTGAAGTTAGCTCTTGGTATAAACAATGTTTAAACTAGATAAAAATAGTACAATCAGAAAGGGGTTTTGTGGACATTATAGTAATTTAATAGTTGAATTCATGAGTCAGTTGAAACTAGACCACCATAGAAAACCTGGAATCACTGAACAGTCGTTCGAATCTCGTGAAGCAGGATCGTAGATGTACACTGTTGAGGAGTCCCACACTAGGACGAAGTGGCCATCCAGCCCCTCCGGGTTTTCCATGATGGTCCAGCTTTAATTGACTAATGAATCCAACTATTAAAAATAGTACAGTCATGTTTTCACATATATATTACTTGGTATTTACGAAAATAATAGTCACTTAGGATAATTATACTTTTTTTATAAAAAAAAGTCAAATGTATCCTATTAACCTAATTGATCGTACATCAAAAGAATTATGAATACATAGATCTCAACAGGTCAAACATTGACTTTATGTAAAATCAGACAAATACCAGGTGGTAATTAAATTAATCTTCATTGTAAGTGTAAGCAAAGTAATTTTATCAATTTGTCAACTATTTTTTCAGTAATTGTCAATCAATTTCATTGTTATTTCACTTAAAATTTAACAATGATGGTCTAACATCAATCGGTTCATGATCTCAATCAAAAAAAAATTCTGTACTAAGTTCACGAATCAAATTCATAAAATTTCTAAACTGGCAATATCAAAACAGAAAAGACTAAATAAAATTATTCTCATTATTTAAATGAGATTTAATATTCATGTGCATGATTTGTTTGAGATCATAAACCGATTGATGTTAAATAATCATTAA